ATGCCATAGTCTGCCTCACAGATCCTTATTCTCTGGGTTTGGGGCAAACCTGAGCATATGCATCCTAATTAGTACTCAGGTGAAGGTGAAGGCAATGTTTTGGCAAGATGGTAAAAGTGTTTACAATTGCAGATGTTTGATTTGCCTAACTGGAGTTGTTCGATACAGTCGGCACATTAGAAGCTCCCAAGCAGAGTTGCAAAATGGATGTCTGCTCTACCCCTTTAAGAACTTTTTTTAACAGCAGAATGAGTTAAAGAAGAGCTATTAAAGCAATTTGTATAAGACAGTGAGCATCAGTCAGGCAGTGGTGGCACACATTTTTAATACTAGCACTTGGAGGCAGAGGCAGGTGGATTTCTGTGAGTTCGAGGCCAACCTGGTCTACAGAGTGAGCCAATGTTATATAGAAAAACCTGTCTCAAAAAGCCAAAAGCCAAAAGGCCAAACCCCCCCCAAAAAAAGAAAAAGAAAACAGAAAGAAAAGAAAAAAGAGAACTTCATCTAAAGAAGTCAAATTGGTGTTTGGACATTCATATTTTAAAAAGCCTTTACTATGGTTTGGTTATGAGTTCCTCAAAGGTTCCTGTGTTGGGGTTTAGCCTCCAGCACAGTGGCGTTAACTTGGCAGAAGCTTTAAAGGGGGCTGTTTAGTGGAAGTTAATTAAATCCTGAGTGTCCACACTAACAAATGAATGACATCTGTCTTTGAAGAACGGGTCATTATAATGGGAAGCCACCTCAAGTGTATGGCCAGCCCTTTCTGCTTCTTCACCCTGTTGTGACACAGACAGACCTGGATGGTGGCACCTCGCCTCTTGGACCCTCCTGTACCAGAATCTTGAGCCTCATTAGCAATAAAGTTCACCGCCTTCTGTGTTTTGTTAAAACAACACAGAATGGGCTGAGGCAGTGTCCCCAAAGACTCCCGAGTCAGGCAGGCTGAGGCCTTCTGCTTGGTTACTCTAACGTGTACACAGCCTTGAGGAAGAGCTCTTCACAGACTTGTGTTTTCATTTTCTCTGTGAAATGAAATGACATGAAAATTCCAAAGTTATAGTATTTCAAAAGTATGTTGCATCTTCTAAACTACCCATTTTATAATGAGTAATCAAGCCCTAGACTTTGCGCATCTTGGAAGCTATAATTGAGTCAAAATTCATCAAGGTAACAACCCTCAGTCATTCTGAGGTATTCTGATGCATGACTTATGTTGGCTAGTTGCTCTTTCCACTTAAGTTAGCCCCCAAATGCCACCTGTCTGAAAGGTAAAACATTTTATTTCTAAAGCTAGGATATCTACTTGACAAAGCCGAGGGGGGAAGGGTTGAAAAGAAAAGAGAAGCCATATGTTTGTACAAGGCCGGACAGTGATGGGGAAGTACTGCTGTAGTGGGGAGTTCCAGAGGAAGTACCCCGTGCCTCTCATGAGAAAGACAGTGTAGAGCGGTAAACAGATGAGCTAAGTCAGTCAGCACATGCCCACATCCATCCAGCCCTGTCACTCAATCACACAACTAACACTCCTTGTCCCACACCCCATCTCCCTGTTTTCTGTTTGGATGTCTGTAATTTGAAAGGGGGGTGTGCTTTAACAGAAGTTTCTACACTAAGTGCTCAGAAGGTAGCTAGTGTATTTTTGGTGAGTGATTAATAATTGCGACTCCTTCCAGGGCAGAGTGGATTTGGTAGAAGGTGTCTCTTAGTTATAGATTTAGAGATGATTTCTGTTGTAGCCATTTTTCTCCCTGGCTGTGACAAAGTACCTGAGAATAGCAACTTCAGGGAGAATGGGTTTATTTCGTTTCGCAGTTTGAGAGCATGCAGTCCATCGTGGCGGGGAAGGCACAGCGGCAGGAGTGTGAGGCAGCTGTGGCATTGCATCTATAGTCAGGAAGCAGGGAGAGATGGATGCTGGTGCTCAGCTCACTTTCTCATTGTTCCTTAGCCCAGGACCCCAGTCCATGGGATGGTGCCACTCACACTCAAGTGGAACTTCCTTGCTCAATTAAGCCTCTCTCTGGACCCTTTCCCAGACATGCACAGGGGTTTATATCCTACGTGTTTCCAAATCCCATCAAATTGAGGAAACTAATTATTACAGTTCCCATAAGAATGGATCGTAACACTGAGAGGGTCCTGTGTAAGGTACATAGGAACTTGTGATTTCAGCATTCAGTGGAGTCTCCAAAATGGAATCGTACAGGAATTCCTGAACTATGGCATCCTTCTTCACAAATATGATCCAGCAAGGGCATACATGATTAGCAATGTTTTGCAAAGGAACACACACCTTAGAGTCTTTCTCCTGGGCATATGTGCACCTCCTCTCTTCCACAGTAGAGATGCACATTGATGTTCTAGTTGTAGTTAAGGCACAGAATAGAGGAAATAAACCTGCCAGCCATTTTTGGTAAAGCTCATTTGTGCATATCACTATCCAATATGCCGAATGCTAGCCAAGAATTGCTGATTCCTGTGATCTGCTGCAAAATACACCTTGGTGAGAAATAAATATAATCAAGCTCATATTCTTTTTCTTCACTACTCTCCCCTGGTTTTCCATAGCTGAAATTAACATGCTGGATACTAGGGGAAAATGCCAAAGCAAACTTAATCTTATCATGAACTTCTTAGGTTTGAAGAATAACAGAAGGAAACATTTGAAGTGGAAGAGACTTGTAGACTGAGTATGGTACCACACCCTTGCTACTCCCAGCACTCTGGAAGCTGGGACTGGAAGGACTTGGGTCCAAGACCATATGGGGCTACCTAGCCAGGCCCTGTCTCACAAGCAAAAACAATCTAAAAGAGAACTGCAGTGTGAACCATCAACCAGCAGGAAACACAGAATTACTCACACTATGGAGTTGGGTCAGGGAATGGACAAGCATCCTGGTTAATTAACATCCTAGTTCACCACAATTGTGGTGTGCACCTAGAATCTGAGGGCCTAGAAGGCTGAGGCAGGAGTATGAGGTAACAGCCAGCCTAGCTACATAGTGAGACCCTGTCAGTCAGCGAAAGAAAGAAAAAAGGGAAGGAGGGATAGAGGAGGGTCAAAGCATCCTGGCTAATAAAGAATGGCTACCTATTTCGTATATGGATTACTGCTGTCCCAAGAACTAAACCATCACATGGAAGGTTTTCTGAGTGCCTGCTAGCTGGCAGACATGGGTGGCACATGTGTTCCACCTTGCCCACATTTCCCCACAGAACCAAGATATAGATACTTGCCTCATTAAAAGAAAATGGACAGACTCATAGAAGTTAAATGACAGGCCCCCACTCAAAGGCTCCTAAGTAATCAGGCTCCTATTGGGATCTGAACCCAAGCTCACCTCTCACTAAATAAAAATACCTAGAAAACACCTACAACTATTTGATGATCAGATTATTTGATTGTGTGACTGAATGAAAGATCTATTGAGTAGAATTAGATCCAATCTACTGCAATGATTTTTGAGATCTTTCCATACCTCTATCATAAGGGTGCCCTGTCAATACTGATGGATACAGCACATAGTTTCCCACACTCTACTGCCCTCTGTTTCTGCTATCTTAAAGGGTTATTTAAATTGACTTGGCTTTTAAAATACAAGCAAACAGGTCGCTCTGTATAGGCAGAAACCCAGTAACACACTAGTAAAACAGAGGCTAGAGACAAAAGCAAACACTTTTTAAATTTAAGTTCTCTGCTGGCATTGCTCATGTTCCTGGGAGCTCCCTGCTTTAGTAGAAGAAGAAATATCCATCCCAAAAGAACACAAGTCCAGTAGAAATCCTGTAATGGAGGGATTGAAATCAAATTAAAGGGAAATAAATTTCTCTCTAAATAATTCAACTCCCTTAGCCTGTGTTTCTGCCACACAAGAAATTACCTTACAAATCTCTGAGATATCCTGGGAAACACTGCAAATAGATACTACAGCTTTTTCAAGTCAAACACCAATGGGCCCTGAATTGTAGCCATATCATTCTTGGAGCCAATGTCTTTGAACAAGACTCTAATGGCAACACATGTTTCAGGTCAAGATTAAAGAATATAGTTATAAGCCGGGCGGTGGTGGTGCACACCTTTAATCCCAGCACTTGGGAGGCAGAGGCAGGTGGATCTCTGTAAGTTCGAGGCCGGGCTGGTCCAGCCTCCAAAACAATATAGAGAAACCCTGTCTTGTAAAACCAAAAAAAAAAAAAAAAAAAAAAAAAAAGAATATAGTTATAAAGTACCTTCTGTGAAATTTGGCCTGTAGTAGTTACAGTTCCTTTTCTTTTTCTTTGACTTTATTGATCCAAAATAGTGAATATCCATAGTGGGTTCATGTGACTTGGTGATTTCCCGTGAAAGATAGAGAAATACTGTACTGGTCTTAGCTGTGTACTCTTAGGCAAGCAGATTAACCTTTCTGTGCCTCATTTTATTTTCAAATGGGAGTTAGCAATGTCTCCTGTCTCACTGGCTTCCAGGGGGACTAAATGAGGTGTTGGTGTATCTAAGAGCTCTATAAGAGGTGGATACCTTTACTGTCACTGGTTAGAGATGGTGATATTTGGCAAATAGAAGTTTAAAACTAAAGAAAATCAGCCCAGATGATAAGATGTAATGACAAAAAGTAAAATGGAGGTAGCCCTCTATGGTAGGGCAGCCTATGGTCTCACAAGAGGGGTGCTCTGGGCTGACTGCAGGGCTCCGAGGTGGGATGTTGTTGGGGGCAAGCAGGCCTGTCCACCAGAAACTCCTACTGGGGTGTTCAGGAGAAGCAGGAGCGGGGATCAGCTGTGAGGGTGAGAATATTCAGAGAAGAAAATCACCTCAGCGTGCTGCAACAAGAACTCCGCTGTTTCTACATGGGACTAAAGAGAAGCGAGGAGCCACGCGGAAAGCCCAGAGAATAACAGGGGTCTCCTGGAAGATAAGGCAGGGGTGGAGCACAGCTCCCATTCTATAAGAACTGAGATGCGACAGAATCAGATAACAGCAAGCCGCCTTTCCCTTTCAGCTTTATTCACAGTGACAGTCCCTAAGGAAGTGTACACGGCAGAGTTCGGCAGCAACGTGAGTCTGGAGTGTGATTTTGACCGCAGTGAATGCACAGAGTTTGGAGAAATAAGAGCCAGCTTGCAGAAGGTAGAAAATGAAACCTCTTGGCCGAGTGAGAGAGCCACCCTTCTGGAGGAGGCTCTGCCACTAGGGAAGGCCCTGTTCCACATCCCCAGTGTCCACATGAGAGATGCGGGGCAGTACCGCTGTCTGGTCATCTGCGGGGCTGCCTGGGACTACAAGTACCTGACGGTGAAGGTCAAAGGTGAGTGCTTGCAAGTCAGCGCTGGTGGAGGGTTGTGATGGCTGCACACCCTAGCTTGCTACTTGGAGTAGCTCAAGCAAAAGCTGAAAACCTGGTTGAAAGAGGCTGTAGTTGGTTTTTACTGTTTCGGCTCTTTGCTCTTTTGGGGGGCCCGCCAAATAAATCACACACACACACACACACACACACACACACACACACACACACACACACACACACACACAGAGGCTTAGTCTTACTTATGAATGCTCAGCCTTATCGTGGCTTATTTCTAGTCAGTTTTTCTTAATTTAAATTAGCCCGTCTGTCTTTTGCCTCTGGGCTTTTGCCTTTGTTCTATATTCCTTTCTTTACTTTTTACTCCCTGACTTACTGTGTAGCTGGGTGGCTGGCCCCTGGTGTCCTCCTCCTTCTCTGCTCTTCTATCTCTCTTCCCTGATATCTCCTCCTATTTATTCTCTCTGCCCACCAGCCCCACCTATCCTTTCTCCTGCCCAGCTATTGGCCGTTCAGCTCTTTATTAAACCAATCAGGTGTTTTAGACAGGCAAAGTAACACAGCTTCACTGAGTTAAACAAATGCAACATAAAAGAATGCAACAAATCTTTGCATCATTAAACAAATGTTCTACAGCATAAACAAATGTAACCCATCTTAAAATAATGTTCCACATGAGAAGCAGCTACTTCAAAGGGAGGAAAAAAAGGTACCTGAAAGGAAACATATTTTGTCACCTGGTAAAGGTAAAGCAGTTAAAACAAACATGGTGGGGCGGAAGAAAGTCAGAATGAGGAGGCACCCTGCCTTTTCCTCTGCTGGGCTCAGGACTCCCTGTGTAGGAAGATTTCTTCCTTAAAGCAAGGGTCCTCACAGAGGGGCCTGTTGATGCCCACAGCCTCGGTAAGGGAAGCACAGGCTTGGGTGTCTAGATCTTCATCGTCCTCAACCCCTTTCCCAAATTGAGGAACATGAGAATGTACCACCAGGCAAGGCACTTAGGGTTCCCCTGAAATACCCCCTCTTTTACTTTTGCTTTCTCCCTCTTTGTGAAAGGCCCGCCCCCCTTCACAGATATGATCCATTGTCCCAAGGATTAAAAACTCTACCGTGCCAGACAAGAGTGAAAAGAAACCCCATGTCTCACAGAGCAGCATGGCTGCCTGCTGTCTGTTCTGCCTCCACAGCAGCCACCAAATGCTTTGCTGTCCATAAAACTGAAGGATGGTGAGATTCCTCACCTAGAGGTAACAGCTGGTAATCAAAAATTATCAAGCTTTGCCTGATGAATTATGTCTTTCAATTTTCTTCCAGTTCCTACCAGCTAATTCATATGAGCAAGATTCATTAACCATTTCAGCTACAAAATTGAAAAATACAAATAAAAATAAAGTTGAATTCTACATCACAAAATAGTTCTGAACATAATCTATAAGCCTTTTCAGATTGATGAATAACTGAACAATACATTTCCAGTACACTTTTATTTTTTCACACTTAATAATTGTCAATATCCATGATATTTTATATTTTGATAATATGTGTTGATAATGGCAATGAAATATAGAAGAAAACTTTAGACACCTGAAATCCCACCGTAATAAGGAAAGATTTCATTTCAATAGCTGTACATATTTTGTTATTAAGTATAAGACAGTTAAGAATGATAAACTAGAGAACTACCAAACATATATGTGTGTGTATTTGTAAGAATGAAACAATTATTTGCTGAAAATACAAATATTTATAAAATCCTAAACATGTATTTTTTTCAACATAGAAGCTTATGGAAAAATCTAAGAATCAAAGTGACACACAAGAGGGAACACTGTGTCTTAATTTTCATCAGAGGGGTGTAAGCAGAGAGCATTGTTAAAGACTAACATGTAAGAGTAGCTTATGGTGACACTGAACCTCAGATCTGGGGCCGGGGAAGGATCCTACAAATGAAGTATGAACAGAGGAAGGGTTAGTTTTACCCTTAAATCTAGGGAATAGGTCTGGACAATAGGAATTTAACACCTCTCTCCATACCATGATTCATATTAAATATAGGGAAGAGTTGATTTCAGAAAGGTAGAAAAATGACGACACAGAAAGAGGGAAAGATCCGGAAGAGATGGTGGCTTCTGGAAAACCTGGCTGTAGCCTCGTGACTAAGAGCCATCAGGCGGGAGAGTTGCTGAGGCAGAGTACAGAGGCACCGAGAGAGGCCAGGGCATCACAAAGCTGCCGGGGTTGAGAAGTGTCCCGCAAAGAGGACTCCATGCAGGCTCAGAGCGATGGAGCACCGGGCCACCGTCAAGCTGGAGCTAAGCACAGAACAGATGAGCTGTTGTGGGGAACCTAGTGCTTTAACCCAACGGAAGCCCAGGAAGATGTGAGTGTGACTTCACCAGGCTGAGGAAGGAGGCAGCATGGTTCCTGTTGCAGAGAATCCAGCACCAGTGAGGACAAGGGGGGCTGGAAGAGACGCCATGGGTGGAAAGGTGACCAGCATCTGAAGCTCTGGCTGGGCCCAGGGAAAGCATAGGCTGAACTGACTTACGGGGGAGCCCCACCTCTTCCCTCAGCTCCTTTCCCTCAGGAGACAAGGAGTAAGGCTATCAGAGTCAAGAATGCACTGCCCCGACTTTCCAATAGGAATTACAGTCTGACCCTACAGGCTGTTTAATGGCAGACCGAAAGCAATCCTCAACGCTATTTCAGTGATTATTTGAACTCTGCCTGGATCCTGTAAGATAAAAGCACATAAGAACTATGTTTCCCACTTTATTTACAGTCACTATGATGATTAAGATTATAATACTGTATGTACAGTTAGCTCTTACCTTAGAAGTAATATGGAAGCTGAGAGATGGGTAAGAACATTGCAAGTATAAGGATCTGAGTTTGAATTCGCAGCACCCACATTAAAAACAATGCATGTCTGTATCCTCCTGTAGGGCAGGAACAGGTAGGACCTGGGAGCTCGCTGGCCAGAGTCAGCCTAGCCAAAAACAGTAAACCCTGTTTCAAGGAAATACCATGGAGAATAAGGAAGACAATCAGGGTTTTTTTCTGATCTTCACATGGGCATGCCCACCTGCACACACACACACACACACACACACACACACACACACACACACACACACACACATGCTCACAGAAGCATGCACCATATATGCCACATATACCACATACCTCACTTCACAGAGTCTTCAATGAGAGCTGGCGCCAGGGATGAAACCATTCTGCTGCTATAGAAACCACCAGAGCAGAGACGGAGGGAAGTGTCCTTTGATTAATGAGACAGCTGAGAGTTTGAAAGATCATGTCACCAGCCATTGTTAACACCTTTCAGATTTGCAAGACCAGGAGGTTCTTAGCCACTGAGCTTATGATATGTGTTTTACTCAGCCAAACACGTGTTTGTAGGATGAAACTGATGGCACAAAAATGAGCTTCCCACTTGGAAGCTCAGTTACTTGCTGTGCTCATGGCAAAGACAGCTTCTGGGGGAAGTAGGGACTTCCATTTGTAGATATAACTACAAGTTAGGTAGCTAACTCATTGCTGTTATGAGAAAAATAGATGTTACTAAAGATAAAAGGCAGTGCTTTCAGTCGGTCCAGCCACTGAAATCAGAATAGAGGTTCCTCAGAAACTAAAAATAGTACTGTGGTTTTATCCAGCTATAGTCATTCTGAGGATATATTCAAAGGACCCCAAGTCAGCACAACATAAAAATACCCACCATGTTTATTGTAGCACTACTCATAATAGCCAAGTCACAGTCTAGTTGCTCTCAATGCATAAAGAAAATGTATACATGTTTAATGGAGTATTCACTTATAATAAAGAACAAAATCGGGTCATTTAAAGGAAAATGGATAGAACTGGAAACCATTGTGTAAAGAGACATAATGGAGACTTGGGAAGAAATGTATATGTTTGGTCTCATCTGTGGAACCTAAGGGGGAAAGAAATGTCATCAACGTAAAAGAGGAATTGCCAGAGGAGAGGAAAGGAAAAAAAAAAGAAAAGGAAAGAAAGAGAAAGGATAGAAAGGAAACAGGAGAGAATATAACTGAGGGTAATAGAGAGATGACTGTCATCCAAGTATAGTAATGCATGTATGAAAATGTCAACACAATCTGTATTTTATAGAGTTTTTCTATGCCATAAAAAGAATGGCAGGGTCTTTAAAAAGCCACATTTCATAATTATAAGAATCAGCTCTATAGACAGAAATTGCTATTCTAAAATGTATGTGCAGCTGACAATATGTCTTCACTGTATTAAACATAAGTTGGAAAGTTGGATATTCCTCCCTGGAGCCCCAACCCAGTCTCAGTTCTTTCTTTTATTTCTTTTAAATTATTTTTATATTTTTAGATTAATATAATTATATCATTTCTACCTTCCTTTCCATCTCTCCAAATCCTCCCACATACCCATCTTTTATTCAGTCATGACCTCATTTCTTCATTAATTGTTGCTACATACATAATACATATATATGTATATATGTGTGTATATATGTATATATACATACATACAAACAAGCACATACATATATATATATATATATTTCTGCACACATGAATACAACCTTCTCAGTCTGTACAATGTCACATGTGTGTTTTTAGGGATGACAATTTAGTATAGCCAATCATTGTTCTCTTCCCTGAGAAAGACTGTCTCCCAATCTCAGCATTCCTTAGTTACCTGTAGTCCTTTGTGTAGGGTTGAGGCCTCTTAGACTTTTATCACTTTCTTAATAAGCCTCAGTTCTCTGTATTCAAAAACAATCTGAAGACAAAATGAAGAAGACAATGACAAGTATATATGTGAGCTTTTGATTCATCTCTGTCATTTGATTTATCGCTGCTATAACAGATAGGATAAAATAGGAAGCAGAAGACTTGAACAACACACTTACCCATCCTGACCAACCTCAGATTACCTAAGGTTGTTTCTAGGATTGTGTCTAACACTTACCAAGGTAGTTATCTAGCAAAGTTGCTAGAGAAGATACTTCTCATTGAACAAGAAGTTGGAACTCTTGGGCTTTAAAAGCTACTTCTACCACTGGAACTCTAAAATTTGCTCATCTTTTCTCAAGAAAAGTCTAGCTTCCCCAATGCCTTGCTGGGTGTGGTGCCTCTCTGGCCACTTCCCAATGAAAAGAGGCTATGGAAGCATTTTTGATACTGTAATGGTAAGGTATGGATTTCCACCCCTTCCCCAAACCCTGCTGGTTCTTTTAGCTGAATATCTACCCCTTTCCCATGTGTCCCTTCATCTACATGTCACAAGGCAGTTTCAGCCAGCCCCGATTCCCGTCCTGTCCTCCATCTTCAGAATCACCTCTCTGCTCAGCCCAGATCAGTTTCTTTTTGTTTGGAGCTTCCTGCAGGAGTTGGCTGGATTTCACCTACAGCACGCTACCCCAATAAATCTAGGCTGTTGGTTTTTGGTTTGGTTTTTAACCCCCCCCCAACCCACAAAAGACAGAAATAAGATATAGTGTAAAGTGTGGCTAAATTAGAGGTAAAGTGGTTACTTCCAAAGGTTGTTTTAGGCATTGTTTGATTGCTAGAGGCAGCCCAAAACTTGGTTCCAAGTAAGACTAGGCCAAATCATTCAGTAGACCGTCAGAACCCAATTCTCTTCATTTTCTATGAGTTTTAGGTATTCCTGGATCTATCAAGGGAATGCATCCTTCCTGCATATGTTGCTTCTTTACAATGCAAAGTAGTGTGATAAATGCAGGAGTTCACACCTTCCCACCATCTCAAGGGTTCTATTGTTTCTCTGTTTACAAGCTAAGAATCCAAATTTTACCATCCTCATACAGTACTTGTACACTTCAAATAAGATAATGTCTAGTGACAAAGCTAGGACCAGGTATTATGGTCACTTAACCTCTGCTCTCACCTAAGTGTTTGAATAAGTGAGCAACCCTAAGAATACACAGCTATGGGGGAAATGCGCACCACATGTTAAGCGAATAGCTGTATGACTACATGATTTTCCACTCCTCTCCCTGTTCTGGGGATATCCCTGGATGGTTTACATTAGAGGGCACGAATAAGAACAGAGAGCCCCTTCCTCCTTCCTCTCTTACCTTGATCTAGAAGCACAGACTTGCAGTTCAGACCCTATTCTAGTTTCGTATCTGTGGCTGTGATCAAATACCTTGAGGAAATGCAACTAAGAGTTGAAGGGTTTATTTGACTTACAGTTCTAAGTTATAGTCTGTCATTAAGGGGAAATCAAGGCAGGAACTCAAGGTAGCTACTAATATCACATCCAGGGTGAAGATCAGAGAGAAATGAATGCATGTATACCTGCTTGCTTGTGCTAAGTTTAATTCTCTATTTTTAGATAGTTCAGCCCCACCTCTGCCTAGGAATCTGTGCCACCCAGAGTGAGCTGGGTCTTTCCATATCAATTAAGTTAACTAAGATAATACCCAATAGAGATGCTCACAGACTACCTCAATATGGATCACCATTATTGAGATGTTCCCCCCAGATGATTCTCGGTTGCATCAAGTTAGCAACTAAAGTTAACCATCACAGGTCTTGTTCATAAAATGTAAGAACATGTGGAGAAGTTCTTACCTAACATGTACAGTCCTAGGAGATGGAGAAAATAAAAACCTTGCTCTATCCCCCTAGATATAGGAAAACTGGAAAAAAAAATGTCAGACCTTTTGAGGCATACATTCAGGCCCGGGTGGGTATGCTCACTACATAGACAAAAATGTCAAGAGAGGGCCCAAAGGTCCACTTGTTATGATCACAGTAAAGCTCTCTGGGAAAACCCTGATTCAACGAGTGTATGGATAACTACTCAAATTAGTAAGTGGAGACACAACAGAGAAAGACAGAGAGGCAAAACACACAGAGAAGGGCCTGACCATTCCTTCTTCCTTCTGTTCTACATTATATAAAAAAGGGCATGCCACAAAGCTTAGTTAAGATTAAGTAAATCATATGTGTCTAAGTGTTTTCATATAGCTGTTATCAACCTGGCCATGACAATTCAGGCCTGTAATCCCAGCATTTAGGATGTAGACACCAGAAGGCAGCAAATTCAAGTTCAACCTGGGATACATAGTGAGTTCAAGGCCAGCCTGGGCTACATTGACAGACCCTGTCTCAAAAATAAAATCTAAGAAAAATATGGCTATTACTTTAGTGTGAAATAGTTTCCCAAAAATTTTTCAGCATTTGGGAGACAGAGGCAGGCAGGTCTCTGTGAATTTGAGGCCAGCCCAGTCTATAAGAGTGAGTTCCAGGACAGCCAGGACTACATAGAGAAACCCTATCTTGAAAAACCAAAAAATAGTGTTAGCAATCACTATTCATCATTGTGACACAGCACATCGTGACATAAACAACCTGAACAGGGAGGATTTATTTTAGCTCATGCTTTCAGAGGTTTCAGTCCACGTACGCAGGAGGGTACACACAACAGAACTCCCATCATGGCTCGTTTTCTCTTTAGTTCTTTGGGGTCCCCAGTCCATGGGATGGTGCTGCCCATGTTCAAGGTAGACCTCCCACCTACTAGTTAATTCTCTCTGGAGAAAGCCCTCACAGGCACATCCATTTTGCCAATATCCTAGGAGCTTCTCATCCAATTAAGTTGACAAGATTAACCATCTCAACAACTGTGTTTTCACTTCAAAATAGCTTTTACTTCAATGATTGTGCTAAGCATCTATTTAAGAGAATAATTCCCATTTAATAAAAGCCAGTACTGACTCTATCACCAAAAAGTACAGTTTACTATCAACACTTCCAGCTCTATACATGTGGTGTTAATATTTGTTAATTTTTAGGTATGACCTAGGATTGTTGGATAGCCTTTGTGCTTCCTGACCCTTCAATTATCTCCTTCCAGTTCTAAATATTCATGTTCTAGAAAGTAGAATATGGCACCTTAGCATAATGCTAAGATATAAGTTTGTAGTCTTCCTATTTTCAAACATTGGGTCTACCAGTCTATTCATCTAACTTTGAACACCATTCTTAACATACCCATCTTCAATTAACCCCAACAAAGATTGGAGATATCAACATAGCATTTCTGTTGTATTGTACTAATTAAACAATTCAATCTATGCAAAATAATGTACCTGGGACATAGAAAATATTTTTAAAATAAAAGAGTATTACCTAAGATCAATAGTGATCATTTGATTTCCTCTTGCATTGAATAGAATTTTACAGCAATCAAAATAAAACTTCTTTTTCTTCTGTTATCCAGCTTCTTACAAGAAGATAGACACTAGGATCCTAGAGATCCCAGGGACAGGGGAGGTGCAGCTCACCTGTCAGGCTAGAGGTTACCCCCTGGCAGAAGTGTTCTGGCAAAACATCAGTGTTCCTGCCAACACCAGCCACATCAGGACCCCTGAAGGCCTCTACCAGGTCACCAGTGTCCTGCACCTAAAGCCCCAGCCTGGCAGAAACTTCAGCTGCATATTCTGGAATGTTCACATGAAGGAGCTTACGTCAGCCATCCTTGGCCCTCTGGGTAAGTGCAGTCCCCACTTCCCAGTTCTAACAATCAGAGTTCAGGTGAGAAACAGATGATGTGCTCACACGAGCCATTCAAGGAAGGCGTTATAAGGGACTCTTCGTGAAGTCAAGGTAGGATCTAGAAGAATTACAAGGATAGAGCAGGACACACATCTGTATTGAACAAGAGTCCACACTGTTGGAGTGGCTCCTGGGAGAAGGTAGCTGTGGGGACAGCACCTCTTGGAGTGATCTGAGCAGCTTTAAGGGGGGAAGTGTGGGAATGACAGATACCCCAACCACACCTCAGGTCCTCCAGTATCCTGCTGGTGTCTCCCATTGCCTAAACCCAACAGGAGGTCAGAGAACAAAGATGTATCCACAGGCTTCTTCCAGAAATGTCAACATCCGATCTCAGATCATAGTGTTACACTGTAGAAAACAGATCTGGAGAGGCAGTAGCAACATCCTGTGTCCAGAGCAACAAGTGAAGAGACAGGAATATTTTTTTCCACTGTGTATGTAGTTCTTATTGCTCCTATATCAAATTGCCACAAATGTAATGGTTCAAAGCAACAAAACTCTGTTATCTCATACTTCTGGAGGTTTGAAGTCTAACTAGGTTTCACTGGCTTCTAGTCGAGGTGAGTGAGGGTGACAGAGGTCCTAGGAGATACTCCATTTTCTTGCCTTTTCCACCTTCATCATCTATATTGCTTGGCTTGCGACTGCTTCCTGCATCTTGAAAGACAATAGTGACCCAGCCCTCGGCCCCTTTATCAGACGCTTTCACTCTCTCTTGAACCTTGGGCTTTATTAGATGCCCCCATCTATGTGTCCCAATAGGTTGAGATTTTGTGGGTGCAGGAATCCAAAGGCTGAGATCCACTTCTGGAGCTAGCTAGCGTGGCCAGGCAAGCTCTGAATAATTTAATAAGAGACCGGTTTTCCTTGAAATGTCACCCACACCAATTAACTGCACCACAGCCAGAAAAACCATACTGACCTTACCCACTTACAGCTCTGAAAGGACCCAGTGAAAAATGCCCCCTTGGTCAGTGTTGGACAGAGGGAAAATCCATTCTGTCCTGGCAGCATTGTCTGTGGTGACTCCCCAGCCTGGGCCTCAGGTGGTTTTTCTACTTTGTTCAGAGAATGCTAATTTTCAGTTTTTCAATTATATGGATAATTGGTTGAAAGGAAACATAATCATGAAAGATGGAGTAAATGTCCTCTTTCCCCGGGGTTACTTAGAGCAGGCAGAGGAGAAGGAGCAGAGGGAGTGTGCACCACAGAGAACTATCTCCCCTCCCTGTGTGCCTTCTGCTTAGATGGCAGGGGGCCCTGGATGAGAGGCCTGGCTTTCCCCACATCCACATGGAACCAACCCTGACTGAACAGGAAACAAGCAAGTGTTCCTGATCCTGGAGTGGAACAGGTGGAGGGTTTTCTTTTGAAGGGTGTTCTCTGGGCAGCCTGGCATATCCTAAAGGATTCAAGCCCCCAAAGGAGGAAGCACTGGTCTTAAGCCAGGAGGTTAGCTGCTGGTCAATACAAGAAGCAGAACTGACAGAAACACATAGAAAGACACTGAGAGAGAGAGAGAGAGAGAGAGACAGAGACAGAGACAGAGACAGAGACAGAGACAGAGACAGAGACAGAGAGAAAGAGAAAGAGAGAATAAAGACAACCAAGGGTGGCCACTGCACTTTCATAAACCTGAACAGAGGGGGGATTTAGTGACCCCTCACATGGATCCTGCACACTGAATCAGCAATAGTGTCTGTCTCCTATGTGTCCAAACAGAAAGTGCAGCCTTCACCAGTCTTACCTCTTGAGGTGACAAACCAGGCAACTTTCTAATTTGTTTCCTTTTGAGGTGGAAGTGTCAGACTCCTCCAAAGCATTAGGCATCATTGATCAAAGGGAGCCCTAGGGATCCATAACTCAGGTTTTGCACCCCCAAGAGTATCCTGACGACTACACTGTACCTCACCCCAAGCGGCTCCAAGGTTCTCACTCTATGGGACCTCCAGAAATGTTGTGGGGTTATTCACCAGAGAAGACTGCTCAGACATGGGTTTAAGCCGATATAAGGTCTTTATCAACCAGCTGGCCACTAGATGTGTAGCCCCAAACATTTCTCGGGGTGAGTTTTTAAGTACAAAAGCTATATTCTGGGTTGATGCACTTCAGTTAACAAGAACAGTTAGCCAGGAGCAGAAATATAGAAGCCAAAAATCAAGGTTAGTACATTTAGAGACTCTCCAAGGAATGTGAATTTTATTTTCACTTTGGTAGGTGGTATTGTCTGTGTGCTGAGTTTTAGGGCCTGAATAGTCCTTGCATCATGGAGTCAGTTATGATAAGGTCTGGGGCCTACTGAGGTCTGGGGCCCTGTTACAGTATCTTTCCCACATCCACACCTTCTTTGTGCTGTAAGTTCCTTTCCCGTAAAATAACATCATTTGCAGCCCCCACCCTACCCCGGCCCTAAGACAGCTCATACAACTTCAGGCTCAGGTTCTCAGCTTGCTCATCGAGATCTTTTGCCCACATCTCTTTATTAAGATCTTTTACCCGCATCACTTGCATATTTTCCTGTGACTGTGTGTTATGTTTTCTCAGTTTCTATGAGTTTAGCCCGTGTGTTTCCATGGTTCCTAAGGTCTTCTTTATACCCAGGCCAGAGTAAAAGCAGATTGCTTTGCCCACGAGGAGTGCTTGGTGAATGCTGCAGTGTTGGTTGGGAGACACCATCTTGCAGATTCCAACTCCCCCAGCTCAGCTCCTAGTCTGTGTGGACAGTCAGATCAGAGACGATGCCCCGATGTGTGACACAAAGCCGCAGCAGCAGGATAACCACAGTCACACATCCTCCCAAGGTGTTGCCTGGCTGACTTATAACCATCCTGTTTCTACTCATTCTCATAAACTAAGCTACTCACTCACTGCTGACCTCTGTGAACCACGTCAGGCTTCTCCAGAAGTCAGTGAATAAAACAGATGCAGAAATGAGAGTCTGGGCGTGGGAGGGCTTCTGCCACTCAGGACAGAAAGCTGAACATACTGAATTTTGCTCAGAAGTTAAGGAGCTATCAGGTCATTTCCCTTGAGAGACAGGGCTGTCGTCAGCCAGCTGCTTCGTTTTCACTGGAAAATGTAACTGGGCTAGACTGTAGGAGCGACTGTAAAACGCTTGGTGAGGCTGGAAAAAGTGAAACCCTCCTAGCACATCTTGGGGGAATCCAGGCAGCAGAAGAGAATGTGGGCTCTGAAAGCAGATACACTTCAAATGTTAAACAGTTGCTGTGGGAATTAAATGAAACATGATACTAAGTGAAGAAAAACTAAGTCACCACCAACAAGATTCCTGGCTTCTTTCTGAGCACACAGGTCTGTGGTAAGAATAGAGCAGTTGGTTTTTTTTCCCCATTGCTTATCATTGTTAAAGAAAATGCAGCTGTCATAAAATAATATTGGAGAATATGTGGGCTAAGCAGCCATAATGAAGAGACAAGCATATGATGACTCAAAGCAGTCGTGTGTTTTCCCATTACATAATACTCAAAGATAGAAAGTGCTCTAAGCAGCTAAATGACTACATTCCATCAGTCATTTTGTGGCCCAGGTTATTTCCATCTTGTTGTTCTACCATTCTTCTGGATATTGTCACTGTTGGACTGTCAAAGCGGGGTCACTGCCAAATCCATATTTCTGCCTTTGAAGAGGAAAAAGTGGTGGAAGAGGCCTTTGATGTTTTACATTCAAGATCCAGAAGACCCACTTAGTTTTCATTACTGGCTACACCTAAATGCTGATCCACAAGGTAACTACTGATCAGCTAGGTGGAGTAGTCTGTGCAGCCCAGAAACTTTGACTGACACCTCTCATGCAGTGATGCTACGCTTCATACAGGACAGAGGGGTGATTTAGGTGTCACATTTGCCCTCCAAGTATAGTCTAGGGAGGCTGAAGTCTTCAGTAATGAGCAGAAACTCCACACATGTGGAGGAAACTGAACCCCAACAAAGGTTCCCAAAGGTACTGAGGCAGGGGTCTGATTCGCCGTGCTGCATGAAGTATCACTTAGCAGTAAAGAGGCAGTGTGATCACCTAGGGTTTTGTGACATGGTTTGAACAAGCAGACTCTTACCTTTTTGTTCTTTGTGATCACATGTTCTTGGATGAAGATGATTCTCATAGAGCCTGAGCTTTGGGTCAGGCAGATCTGGGTCTGGAACCCTGACTGTGTTATTTCTTCGGAAGCAGTGACCATAGGCAGATTTATTTAGCATCCCTGAGGCACTAAAGTGACTCGGGACTAAGTGGTGTCTAATAATTTCTCAGTTAGACTATTCCATGGTTATCAACATTGAGGAGGTAGTGTCAGGAGCAGAGCAGCCAACAGTTCAAGCCCTCCCTCCTGAATAATTCTGTACAGTTGTTTAGTCTGGGTCCATCATGCCATGAGGCAAAGTTCCAGTCTCTGAAACAGGTACAGCCTAACCTGTGTGCCCTTTCATTGCCAAATTGTGAACACTCCAGTAGTCCTTTCCTCTTACCATCTAGCCAGCCTGAAGGTACCCAGAGCTCTGCAAGGCTATCCTCTGGCCTCTAAACTACTCTTCTTATCACCTCTTCACTAAATGGATGCTGTTGTCAGCATCTGTACCTTGGTTAGTCCAGACAAGATAAGGATCAGTTGTAATGGTTCACACCAAGACCTGAATGACTAGATTTAATATGTCACCACTTCCTGGAATGTTCTGCTTTTTCCAAAGTGTCTTGCTAGTCTTTAAAATCAAATAACTAGTGGTATTTTTAGGTGCTTGAGTTCTTATCAGTGAGGGAGAAATTCACTTTTTGAACTGAGGTCGTTTTCCTGCTTGAATAAGAAAGGCAGGTTGATGAAGAGAAAGGAAATGGAGACCAAGACGGAGATGGGGTTTGTGAAGGATGGGTGGGTGGATGGATGGTTGGACGGATGGACGGTTGGACAGTTGGATGGATGGATGGATGGGTGGATGGATGGGTGGATGGATGGATGGATGGATGGATGGGTGGATGGATGGTTGGATGGGTGGATGGATGGATGGTTGGATGGTTGGACGGATGGATGGATGGATGGATGGGTGGATGGATGGATGGGTGGATGGGTGGATGGTTGGATGGTTGGATGGATGGATGGATGGATGGGTGGATGGATGGATGGATGGTTGGATGGGTGGATGGTTGGATGGATGGATGGTTGGATGGGTGGATGGTTGGATGGATGGATGGTTGCATGGATGGATAGATGGAATGACCAAGTGGCAAAAGGCACAGGATCTGGGCCCGGACAGTCTGGAGTGTGTCTCAGCTAAACCCCTTGCAGTCTAGCTTTGGGGAAATTTCACAGTTTGTCTTTTTTCACCAGTGAAAATGGAGAGCAAAGTAGAGGCTACTTCACTGGGTGACTAGGAGAGGTGTAGAGTGAAGGCTTAACCCTGTGGCTGTTTGGTGGGGACCCCTCAGAAAGCCACCCCCGTCTGGCTGTGAGCTACCCTGTGATGGGATTTTGATTCTTTCCTTCACCCAGGCTGGACTGAACCCAAGGTCCCCAGAGCATCACCACTTCATGTTTTCATCCCATCTTGTATCATGGCTTTAATCTTCATAGCCACAGCGATAGCCCTGAGAAAGAAGCTCCATGGAAAGCTGCGTTCTAGACATAGGTGAGTGACTTAGAAGCAGTGTGAGCCTGTGTTGTGAGCCGAGGTGTGAGCCTCTGCTTGACTCACAGTGGCCTGCGACCTGCCAGTCTCCTCTGAAACACTTCAAGCATAAGAGGGCTTTGAGACAATCCTGGGGACTTTTTACCCCAAGAAGAAAAAGGTTCACTCTTCAGTGAGCTGAACCCACATACCTACTTTTCCTAAGGGGACGTTTGTTTCTGGGCTGAGCGGGTTTGCTTTGCTCTCTGAGCCTCCAGAGTGCTGTCTTTTGGCTAATACGGGCAGCATTTGCCAGTGAGAGGTTGCCAGGAGCCTGTCTGAGGATTCTGTTGTTTTTCTCATTCTGGGCATTAGCTGGGTTAAACCTTCCTGATCTCCTAAGAATCCACCCTTTCTATCCAGGTGAGGAATAGAGAGAGACTTGGGAGCCTTCCCAGTTCCAGGAAGTTTTGGTGAGCACCGCTTAGCCTGGGCCTTCTTATCACCCTGCTTCTATTCGATTGGACCAGCGAGGGCTGGGCCATGCCTACAGCTTCCTAAATAGAGCTGCTCTGGTGTCTGTCTGTTCCTCACTTCCTGGAAGTCCACAAAAACCCCAGAATGTTTGTAGACCTGTCTGGTGCTTTCCTCAGGGGGGCCTAGGCAGCACCCAGTGAACTTCTTCCCACGTCTACACGGTCTCTGTCAAAAAGGAAATAGCGTCTTTGACTAATTTATTTGAAGTGGGCAGCACCAGCAAGGGGGCGAAGTCTTGGAGGCTGTCATCCTACCCTGAATCTATACTGTGTCCTCATCTGTTGAAGCACTTTGTGCATTATCAGGGCTGACCATGAGACCTCTAACTGTAGAGTTCAAGGGACTGTTGTCAAAAGAAAATAAGATCTTAGCATTCAGGGAGAGGTGGAGACTGGAGGGTCATGCTGCCAAAGGCAGCCTGGGCCACTCAGTGAAACCTAGCCTTAGGAGAGAAAAGAAAATTGTAAGAAGGAAGAGGAAGAAAGGAAGAAAAGGAGAGGGGAGACCAGTAAAAACAGGGGGGCGGGGAGAAAAAGGGAAGGGAGGAGGGGGACAGGAGAGAAATGAGAGAAAGAGACAGAGAAGCAGGCGGGAGATTGGATTTTAAGTAGACAGGAAGGGAGCAGAAGAGCAAAGAAAGAGGAAATAGTAACTTTCAGCAGGACTTTGACTTTTACATGAAGTCTTTCCTGCAAACCCGTGACGTCAGACTGCTGTGGAAAGCAAAGGCCACTGAAGTCTTAGGTCCCGCCTCTCACACGCCTCTCACAGATTTCCTGACACAGGAGGACCCCCTCGTCACTGCAGAAAGGACGGCTTTACCACTCAAGATAGTCAAGTTGTGCAACCAGCCCAGGTGTCGTCAGTGGATGAATAGCTAAAGAAAATGTGAGGTGTATTCACAATAGAGCACTATTTAGCCATAAAGGGAAATGAAATGGTATCATTTTTGAGGGGGATGAATGAAAATAGAGGTCATCGTTTTAAGCCCAACTCAGACAGTGCAGAGATATGTTTCCTTTCATATATAGATTGTAGAATTAAATAATAATAATACACGGACAGGGCACCCGCACAAGGGGAGGAGGTCCAGGACAGGTGAAAGGGAATGGATATGATTGAAGTACACTGTCTGCATGTGTGAAAAGCCATTCTGATTAGGCTGGAGAGATGGCTCAGTAGTTAAAGAGCTGCCTAACAGAGGATCTGAGTTCCATTCCCGGCATCCACACCAGGGAGTTCACAGTCACCTGTAACTCCGGCTCCAGGAGATCTTACCTCCTCTTCTAGCCTCCCAGGGAGCTAAGTCAGTTTACCAGAGGGCCCGATCTGAGCGGTTGCTGAGGGCCTAGTGTGTAAGGGATTGACTGTGCACAGCTGTGGCCAAGACAGGAAGTCCCACCTGCCTCTTCAGCCGTGAGTGTCTTGCATTGGGAGCAGTGGCAAGAGGCATGTGAAGAGGCGTTAACTGTAATCCACTGCCACTGCGGCGGCGTATGATTCTCTAGCCCGGCCATGTAGAATCTCCATTTCCTCCAGGTGTCTACAACCACTGGGCAAAGGTCTCTTTGCCAGAACAAGTCCCCATAAAGATCACATTAAACTGTTATGGCTGAAGAGGTAGGAGGGGCTCCCCAAATTCTCAACTGCTGCACCATTAGCCCCTTCCACATGAGACCCGCATGAAGAACCTGAGTCAGGAGCCTTAACTTGTCCCTCTTCAGTTCTTTTTTGGGCCACTGTTGTCCTGAGACTGAAGGAAAGATAGAGACGTCTCAGTCCATTTCTTTCTGGAAGTCTCCTTGGCCCCTATGAAGATTTACCCACCTGAGTATCACACCTCATAGTGCCTGCTGGAGGACAGTCATTGCTGGTTCATTAAATATCTTATTAACCATTCCTTGCAAAGAGCCATTCAGTAGTTCAAGGATTCAGAGTGCCACATTGCGTTCCAGAGAAGACCTTGGCAAATTCCCCTACAAAAATATCAAGTTCTGCTTTATTAGCTAGGCCTAAGTTTCTTGGAAACTGTGTCTCTCTCATCAATAGATACATTTGCAATGTCTAAAACATTATCTGGTATGTGTAAAATGATGCTTGTTGTGGGATGCCCGCCTGGGTCCCCTCACTGCTTTAGCCCCCAAATAACACACAAGACACTATATTAATTATGAAGCTGTTGGCCGTTTGTTTGTTTGTTTTTAATGGCTAGCTTTGACTTACTTATTAACCCATATATTTCTATAAGGACTTACCTTTTCGAGGACGACATCCTGGCCCTTCTTTGCTTCCCTAGGATCACATGGTGACCACTCATTTCACTACATTTCCCAGAATCCTCCTAGACTCCTACTCCCACCTGTTTTGCTTCCCTATTGGCTAACAGTGCCAATAAGACAACATATACGCAGAATGACATCCCGCATCAGATGCTTAATAAAATTATGAGTTTTTCTATTTCTATTCACTCATGCGTATGTGTGTATAATGAACTGTAGGCATCTCATCCTCCATTCCCCACTCCTACTCCCCTTCCTTTCCTATTGGCAATCTTTCCAACAAGCCCCTCCTCTATTTTCCTTTCTTCTTTCTGTATGTGACTCCCTGAGTTTCATTGGAGTTCATTGGGTGGAGCTGTTTAAAGAAAAGTCAATGTATCAGTAGCTACACCACAGCAACCGTTAATTGCCAACAGCCTCTCAGAAGGGCGTGGGCATCGCAGACTCCTTTCTCATCCATGATGCAATTTGACAGGACCAGTCAAATTTTGCAGGTCTTGAGTGGAAAGCATGCTCTACTGGGTCCATGAGTGCAGTGTCTGTCAGTCTTTGTGTTGAACATCTCCCCACCTTCTGCCTCCTACATTCTTCCTTTCCCCCTCTTCCATAATGTTTCCTGCACCTTGGAGGGGATGATGTAGATGTACCATTTAAGGCAGAATGGTCCATCATTGCTTACTCTTGGACTTTGGCCAGTTATGGGATTCTGCAGTGCTCACTAAAATAATAGACAAAGTCTGCTCTCTGTAGGTGAGTATGTCAGACCTGCCTGATATAATGGCCAGCTGTGGTCATTTAAGTCTAGGGCTTAGAAGCCATATGTAAAGCAGTCACACATGGTAGTAGCTCGAGGCTACAATGCGGGACACTGCAGATACCCAACATTACTGTCACTGCAGGAAAACCTATTCATGGTAATGTGGCAAATCTCTTCTAAACTTCTTTTCTCTTAATTATGAGTCTTGCCTAAGGCAGGGAATGGTGCCTTTATTTTCCCCATGAAGGAACTGAAATTCAGAAAAGCCATGTGACCTCCTGAAATCACACAGTGTAGACTCAAATGCAGTTCCAAAGGTCTGTCATACTCTAAAACTTGTGACCTTTTCATAACAAAACAGTTTAGTAAAAACTATCAATCTGAATAGTTTTATCCATTCTTTAATCTAAAGAATTGAGTGGGTTGCCATTCATATGTTGGGCCCATCATAAAGTCAAATTAGAGGACCATAGCAGTACCTGCTACAGAGTCTAGATTTATAGAATTTATTACATTATGGATGGCTTAAATGAATGGGGATTTAAAAAACTTGGCAAATGGTGTCTGAACATGCAATGACCAATAGTCAATTCAAAAGTAAATGTATAGTGAATCTGAGGTGTTTGTCAGCACTTGCCCATGTTATATTACATAATCTCATGACAACATGGTTCTGAACATGCAGCATAATTGCTTTGCACTGTGCATGCTGTCCTACTATGCCACACCACGGAATGCTGCAGAAACACCTTTCATCTGATTTGAGACTCTGGTGTGTTATGATTTGCAGTGTTATGACTTATTGTACATATAGAGCTTTATATCTTACTGAAATGCAGTGCTTTAATTACAAAAAATTGTTATTTTATTTCATTTTTTTCAAGACAGGGTCTAACTATTTTGCTCTAGCTGTCCTGGAACTCACTATGTAGGTCTGGCTACCTTCACTAAGATCTGCCTGCCTTTGCTTCCCACATGATAGAATTAGAGGTGTGTACCGCTACATGCCACATAAGACACTTAATATTTTTCTACCATCATTCCTCAGCATGTATCAAACTCATAACGTTGTATTAGGTGCATTAGATATTTTATTTTTAAAACTTTTCATTGTTGCCTTGCATTTCATTAAAAATTATTAAATAAATTTTGGTTTACTATTATGACAGAATTTCCAACAATTTCTGAAATAACTCTAAATATACTTCTGTTAATTTGTGTTGTGTATTTATGTGTTGGTGTTCTACATGTTGATAATTATTAATTATAACAAAGTCACTGGTATACAAATTTCCTTTCATCCTTAATGAATGGTAAAATTACATATGCACAAAAGACTTGCTTTTAAGTAAGTTTATTACTTATAACCAGTAAATGCTTGATTTTTGTAGTTATCACCACACACAGAGAGAGAGAGAGAGAGAGAGAGAGAGAGAGAGAGAGAGAGAGAGAGGGGGACACAAATTTCTTGGTGAAAAGGGGGTTAAAGGTGGAAAATGTTTGCAACAGTCAGCTCCCCAACATGGCCTGTGCATCAGCTCCTGCCTCCAGGTTTCTGCCCTGTTTGAGTTCCTGTTCTGACTCCCTTCAGTGATGAACAGTGATGTGGAAGTGTAAGCCAAATACACCCTTTCCTCCCCAACTTGCTTTTTGGTCATGGTGTTTCATCGCAGCAATAAAAATCTTAACTAAGACAGATAGGAACTCAAACATGGTAGGAACCTAGAGGCAGGAGTTGATGCAGGGGTCATGGAGGGAAGGTGCTCACTGGCATGCTCCCTACAGCTTGCTCAGCCCACTTTCCTATAGAACCCAGGACCACCAGCCCAGAGATGACATCACTCACAATGGGCTGAGACGTCTCCCATTGATCACTAAATAAGAAAATGCCTTACAACTGAATTTTATGGACACATTTTCCCAGTTAAGATTCCCTCCTTCCAGATAACTCTAGTTTGTCAGGTTGACATAAAACCAGCTAGTACAGAGACCATGAAGGAGGAAGAAACAGATTGTAAGAACCAGAGGTTGGGAAGGACAGGCACAAAAAAACGGTGTCTTATGGACATTGAATTCAGAGCAGCTATGGCCACCTGCACAAGCATGGAGCAAAGAGGGTCTCATGAGCCCCCACAACTGTCTGAGAAGTTATTGATAGTTGATACCTTCTGGGGGAGGGAAAATCCGTTTTCTTTAAGGGTGGCCCTGGTAGGTTGGCCATGCTCGGGTGGTGGTTCCATACCCTGAGCAAATGGGCAGCACACATGAAGACACAGAGTTGGGAGGGTTTGGGGAGACAGGGGTGGATAGTGGGAGTATATGGGGAGATGGATATAATCAAAATACATTCTAGGCATTTATGAAACTTGCAAAGAATTAATAAAACATATTTTTAAAGTGAAAAGGGAGGAGTAATACTGAAACTAGACATTTCTGGGATTTTGGTTTTGCAGACAATGAATTCTACCACCATAGTACAGAAGTGAACAGAACAATGAGTAAACACGGTTTTGCTTTTCTTTCTCACCTCCTTCTCTATTTGAGTTAGTTAATTCAATTATCCCCCAGTATCCATGGGAATAGGTTCTAGCCTCACTTAAATTAGTGAATTCTCATGTCCCTTTGGTAAAATGTCACAATATTTGCAGATAACCTATATGCACCTGCACGTAGGCTTGAACTCATTTTTTCTCACAGTGTAACCCACTTCAGTGCCAGCAGCCTACAGGCACAGAAGCCAGGCAAGGCTTAGGAGCCAGTTTGCTCCGGTGTGGGACACTATGAGAGACCTAGGGTGACATGCCTGCCATAAATCAAAAATCATGCATGTTGAAATCATTTTGATTACTTAAAATACCTATTACAGTGCAAATGCTTTGTAGATAGTAGTTGCATTTCATTATTTTCTGAACAATGACAAAAACAACGGTGTGCTTGTTACTTCTCTCAGTGCCATAACCAATCACCAGACAAGAAACAAGAGGTCTATTTTGAGCATGGTTTGAAGGGCCATATCATCCATAGTGCAAGGGAAGGCATGGCAGCAGGCATCTTCACGGCAGTGAGAGCATGTGTGACAACTGCTTGCTCACATCTCAGTTCCATAGGAAGTGCCTGTGGATAGGAACAAGCTATTAACCTCAAAGCCAAACCCTAGTGACCTACTTCCCCAGGCTAACTCCCACCTCATTAAAGGTCCACACCCTCCAAAACCAAATCATCAACTGGGGACCATGTAATTCAAACACAGGAGCCTGTGACTGTACATTTCTCCTTCAAATGATAACAAAAAGTCTACACAATGTCTGCTCTAGACTGTTTATTGCCAGCTAAGCCTACCTGAAGCCTATTTTTCTATTCTTTGAGAAAGTAATAGTAAAGGAATAATGAGAAAGGTGCCTCTAGAGCCATGGTTGAGTACCTTCCAGGGCTGGCTCTGTTTCTCTTTTGTTTTATTTTCCTGCCCTCGGGGGGCATCTCTTGTGCAGAAGTAAGGTCCTCCACCCAGCTCTGGGGTGGAGCATAGGTGGAGGAAACTGAGGTTCTAGGTAGGAAGAGGGGCAGGTCCTAGGGATTCCAGCAACTTCTTCGGGACCCCTCAACCTGGCCTGCATGGATACAGTTGTTTCCATCCCTGACCTGTAAATGTGAGCAGAATGTAAAGCATGTAAATTTGAACTTCCAAACATGGAAGGCTCTGGAAAACCCAGTCTTCCTTTTCTAACAGATATTCTTATTTCCTGTATTATAAAATATGTATTTTTGTTATTTTGTATGTTAAAGCCCTCAGTTTAAGTGTTCTGCCCTACATCCTTTTAATGATGTCATACAACCAAGATACTCTAACCCAGAAAAAGCCCCAGCTCCTGTACTCCGTGTAGATGCTGTCCCTGAAATGCATTTTGAGAAGCACACTTTGTGGGTACACACGTGCTCTGTCATTGCAGTGCTCTGCAGCCCTGACTCTGCATCTGTTGGAATCTTTGGATAGATTGCAATGTGAACTAGCTGCCAGGGGACTCAGTGGTGCCTAGCATCTGTTCTCCCAGCCATCCCCAGGGGCCTTGTCAGGGTGGCCATATTTGCTGCCAAATTAAAGGATGTGCCATTCTCTGTCAGAGAAGGGATGTGAGATGGAACAGAATGGTGTTGGTGGCTTAAAGTGTGGCTTTAACGGTGCACTGTTGATTTTACACCTTCTTTTAGGATTACCATTGCTGTGACAAAACACCATGACCATAAGGCAAGCTGGGGGGAAAGGGTTTATTCTGCTTACACTACCATATCACTGCTCATCATCGAAGGACATTAGGACAGGGATTCAAACAGGGAAGGAACCTGCAGGCAGGAGCTGATGCAGGGGCCATGGAGGAGTGCTGCTTACTGACTTTCCCCCTATGACTTGTTCAGAACATTTTCTTACAGAACCCAGGACCACCAGCCTGGGATGAACTGGGCTCACAATGGGCTGGGCCCACCTTCATCAATAACTAATGAAGGAAATACCCTACAGCTGGGTGCTATGGATGTATTTCCCACTTAAGATTCCCTCCTTTCAGATAACTGTAGTTTGTGTGTCACGTTGGCATAAGACCAGCCAGCACACACATGGATCTTAACAACAGCTTGTGCCCAGAGAATAATCATTATACAGCTGTATGCTTTACTTGTAAAAATATTAAAATGCACTTTAACACTTAAAAACAGGAAAAGGAAGATTACCTGCAAACATTTATTGTGGGCAGTTTGTTTTGTTTTTGTTATTTTCAGATGTTTTCAACCCATAGTTGGCCAACCAGTGGGTCTGGAACATGGAGATACGGAGGCGCAATTGTATCCATGGTTGTGCTAATGAATTCATGAAAGTTGAATGGGGTCAGGGTACACAGAAGCTTTTTAGTTGGTAACTGCTCTGCTAAGCTCGTTCTTACAAGTCTTACAATTGTGCCTCCCTCCGTGCTCTCCGTTGGAGAGCAAGCACTGCGTGCTGTGCGTTTCAGGCCAGGAGCAACCCTGCCATTCTTTGCTTTATCTACACCCTTAAATTCTCCTAGCTGATACACTAGGGAAGTCCGTAGCGGTAAAGTTAGAAACGCAGTCAAAATTTGCTAGTGAGAGACAATAATGCAGCAGGGTACAACCAACTGAAGGTTTCGCAGGCAGCAGTGATTAAGAAACGGGCTGTGGGGCCGAGCTGGCAGCAGTGCGGGCTAATGAAGCCTCTTGAAGAGGGCGAGGGGCTCACAGCTGGAATGGGTGACAGGGAAGGGATGCGCTGTGCACATCAGAAGGGAGGGTGCTAGGTTCCTGCAGGAAGCAGTGCTTCTGGAATCAGATAGGCCTGGGTCATGTGGGACAATGGGATGCCTCTCTTGCTTGGTAAAAAGCTACTTCTTTTGCGGACTATCAACGGTGTAGTGTGACGCTTGAGTTGAACAGAAGGATACAGGAGAATCAGACTTCGAGATACCTTTGTGTCAGAAACTCGGGCTAGTCAAGGTGCTTGGTTTAGAATCCTACCGTGATGAGCACCACAATTCCAAAGCCACCAGTTGAGAAAACAACCCTGGAAAGCCTTCGGCTCAAGCGTAAGCTATGGCAATCGTCAGCACCAATGGGATGAAGAAGAGTTAACGCGGGCCCGCAGCCTTTACCAACCACCGGTCTGACAGCCATTACTGAGGGCCACATCCTGGGCACAGAGCCGGGGAACAAATGTGGCTCAGGGCAGGTCCACGTAGAGGTTTGACTGCACTCAGCTCTGAGTCAGCGGTTAGATTCGCTTGCCTCAACAGTTTCCCATCAGCCCTGGCAAGCCTGATTACATATCCATTTCTTCAGACATGAAAATCCCTATTCCTATAAGTGATATCCTTGACCCAGAGGCATCTGCTTAGGTCCTGTGGGTTCAGTGTCTTTCTGTAAGTGACTCCTTCAACTGCTCAGGACAGAAGAAATGGGATAGGCCTGAGAGCAGGGGTGAGAAACTCCGATTTCCAGCCAGCGGGTGGTGAAATGGATGGAGGTTCCAGGTAACTAGGTAGGGATTGGGGATGGTGGCCAACTGGAGAACATAGGCTGCTACTCAGCTCCACCCTGTCACTGCCAAGATGGAAACATAAAGGTTTATGCAATGTCTTCCAGTTAGTAAATAGTAGATGAAAAGATTCTTAAATACCATATGAGCCAAATCAGATACACCCACAGAGGATCCATTTGCCACTACTGGGCTAGTGGTGAAATACCAACAGCCAGCCTTAAGGCATGGGTCATTGAGGCAGACATAAGCATCTGGGAACTCAAAGGACACATAAAGACTTGTATAGTCTCCCGAATGTCTCGCACTGTAGTATTAGAACATCTTTGTTGAGTCAACAGTATCATAAGGATTTTGTAACAAATGTTTATTCACATAACCGGAAAGCCTCAGTCCTCCTTTCTGACATGCAAAATAAAGTTACTAGGAAAGAAATGAGACAACCAGGGGAATTGGTTTCTGTTGTTGGGGGTCAGGGTCTCCCTGGGGTGGGGGAGGGGAGAGTGAGAGGGAAAGGCAGGCAGATTCATTTTAAAGGATTGGCACCCATGATCGTGGGGACAGCGATACTGAGCTTTGTGGCGTAATAGGCCAGCAGGTGGTTTTCCACATTACAGTCCAGACAGTTTCTTCATCTCTGGGAACTGGGTTTATTCTCAAGTCCTCACTTGATTGGAAGGAACTTACACTTTGGAATGTAATCTCTTTAAAATCTACCTGACACTGCATGTTAATTACATCTATAATGCTCACGGAAACATCTAGACTGTCATTTGATAAGACAATGGGTGCTGCAGCCTATCCAAATAGATAGGACAAACTAACCAAGAGATGAGGGGGCAGTCTTGGCCATTCACTTGGTCAAGCACATGGTGGAAGTCAGCTTGTTGGAACTGCCAGAGCTTTAAAAACAGAAGTAAAGGACCTGAGAACGGGTCCTTGCAGAGGACCTAAATTGGGTTCCCCTCATCTCTGTTGAGCAACTCACAACGGCCTGTAACTCCAGCTCCAGGGCATCTAGCATGCTCTGAAATGTTTCATCATAGTACAGCTGTCCGTGGTGCATAGAATGGGAGGGGGAAGGTGGCTGTTGCAAAAGTGCTGGGAAGGAATTAGACTGGGCAATCAATGGGAGAGAGAGAGTGGCATGAATGGCTTTGAGCCATGCTGCTGATTTCATTGCATGGATTTTTTTTTCAGGTTGTTTCTCCCTCCAGTCTATTTTGAGAGGTTATGTATGCTCTAATCATACATTTTCCTGTTTGTGGTCTCTTCTTCCTAGATCTGGACCTGTGGCCTTGGGGGTTGGGATCATCTGATGGGACACCCTCAAGAGGCTCTGGACTCTGAGTGAGGATCCCTTGGTCTGCAGAACCTGCCGTTTGCACTTTTCAAATGCTTTGAATCATGACCGAGCACTTCCATGAGGAACCTGCCAGACTGACAGCCTCCTGGGTCTCAAGACTCCATCTGAACCAGCACAACCGCACTTTAGAAAGTCAGCCCTGGGATCCTGGACCCCAGAGAGGGACCGAGGGGTCTCTTGGCCACCAGCCTGAGAGTAAAAAGAATTGTTTTCCCCTGGCTTTCCATGGGAAGACGTGGAAATTTCCAGTTACTAAAACAGACTGTCATAGAGTTATTTATATCTGTCATTTCCTCTGGGGGCTGGAAACTCCAGACGGTTTTATGTAAACAAAGTCATAACTGGTGGTTTGAAGCTTCCTAGAATCCTGGCAGACTCTGAATTTCTAAATAACAAGAGGAAGCAGCTAAGCAGATTTTGAGTACACAATCACAGGATAAGTCTTTGTTTAGACTCCTCTTTTTTAAGGTCTGAGTCACAAGGCATTTGTTTTAACCTGTACTGTCACAATGTTTGCTAGTGTTTTCTCTTTCACCTACATCTTTCCTTAAAACAAAAGGTTATAGAGTTTTGCTGATGTTTTGTTGTTGTTGTTTTTCATTGGTATCACCTTAAGGAAAAATGCCATGCCAACGTGTTGTGCCTTCAGAGATTTCAGATGAGTATCAATAATGTGCTGTTCCCCAAGCTAAGCCCACTGTGTGATTTTGCAGTGAAACTTCTAGTAGCTGTTTCTACAGCTGTAATGTGGTGATGTCATTAGTTAGGGCATTTGATGATGGGCATTCTGGAAGTTCTTCCAGACCTCCTTGTGCTCGGGTTACATACAGGTGCTAAATTTGGTCTGTATGCTAGAACCATGAAACTCAGTGAATTTACTGACCTGCGAACTACCCAAATGTACGCATTAGCTACTATGGCAGCTGTAGGTTAGTGAGTCTGCAGCAAGCTCTTCACCCAGTGTTTAGACTGATTTTGGAGTTGATGGGGTGAAAAGGTTTAAAGGTGATACTTAGATGATGCATCTGTAGCAGAGGTTCTCAGACTACCAGCCCCCAAATCATGACATGGAAATTTATGGTTAGTTATGGATTCTCAGCCTTAAGTTAGGCTTGTTTCTGGCTAGCTTAAAAAAAAACCTAAATTAACCTGTTTCTTTTCATCTGTTTTTTTTTTAACCTGGAAGCTTTCCCTTCCTTTCATTCTGCATTTCCTACTTTCCTGTTCCCTCCATGGCTGGATGGCCGATGTCTGGCTGGACCCTTGCATCTCCTTCTCCTTTCTCCTCCTTTTTCTTTTGTCTGGAGTCTAGATTCCTCCTCTTATGTCTGCTCTCTGCCCACCAGCCCCACCTATCCCTCTACTGCCTAGCTATTGGCTGTTCAACTTTTTATAAAATTAATCAGATGCCTTAGGCAGGCAAGATGAAACAGCAGCATATCGTTACATAATATCCCACAACATAAACAAATGTAACACATCTCTACCTCGTTGAAGCAACATTCTCCAACCTGGGTCTTAACTCTATCATCTTCTGCCTGCACAGAACAGAGAATGCCTGCGAAGCACAAATCTCTGAGGTGTATTTAGATGCCTTTGCAGCAAGATGGGTCTCTCACTGCTTCCATGCCATAGCCTAAGATTCCTGTTGGGGAAGCAGACCCTCCCAGTACCAGAGAGCAGGGCAGACAGAAAAGTCTTTCTGGGTTTACAGACTCACTTATGCTGGACCCCACCTCTCAGATGCATGATTGGCAGGCCGAATCCTGATTGCCAATCAGGGTTGAGTGGTTTGCTTTCTTTATTAGGAATCAGTGGTATAATGGATTCTGACAAAATATTGCCATCTTTGGCCCTTGCTGGGGCTGTTTTCTAGGATATCAAATGGAGAAAGGCCATCTAGAACCAATATCCTAAAATCCTAAGAGGCCATAAGGTCGTAAGTGCAGTGTGTTAACTGTTTAAATGTGTGTGTGACCTCTCACATTAACCCCTGACATTTACCAAATACTTACTAGGTACCATATACTATGAAGCCTTTTACACACTATTGGAGTGACTTCTCTCAAAAATCCTCTGAAAAGGGAACTATTAATTATGTCATTCTTTAGGCAAGGAGCCAAGAGTCCAGAGAGGTTAGACAGTCTGTCCAGAGTTACCTGCTTTATTGAAAAGGAAGTGAGCAAGGGCATCAAACCCATATTTATTACAGTCTTTAATGTGCCCTCATTTCCCTGGATGGGACTTCAAGGTGGACTTTTGCCACTTGCATATGCCCAGTGGTATTTTGACTGATCAAGGATTAATTTCACACCCACTCTTCCTGGGGAGATGCAAGAAATATGTGTAGGGAAAGTCCAGGTTTGTGGGCCCAGGGTTCAAACTCTAGCTTAACTATGTAAGTCTTTAGATCCATCAGCTGACACCCTTAAGCATTAATTTCCCTATCTGAAAGTAAACGAATGATGCTTATTGCTTTTCTTTACCAGGCACTATTGTGTGTGGTGTGCAATGAATACTTGTTAAGTGTGGGTCAGTGTGAATCCCCCAACATACCAGCTACTGTCTCCGAAGCAAAGGCAGCACAGCATTCAGGCATTACCAGCTGATTTATCAGCACCAGATTTCTCCTAGTTCCATTCCTAAAGAAACTTCCAGCCTAAATATGTTGCATAAGCTTTCAGTCCCAGGAACTCCTACACAGGCCTCAACAGTCAAAGTGCTCACTGGTCTCCTGTGTCTTATAAAGTCTCCTTCACCTACAATGCCTCATTTCTGGAACCTCAAATCTTCCTGGGAAAAGTCTGTCCATGATTTAATCATTACTTGGACCTGTTCTAGGAGATATACTCTTTGTAATTTTCCTCCAACTGGTTGTGATCTCTCTCTCTCTCTCTCTCTCTCTCTCTCTCTCTCTCTCTCTCTCTCTCTCTCTCTCTCTCTCTCTCTCCCTCTCTCCCACTCAAGTACACACATGTTTTCATTTTTAAACTAAGGGGACTAGAGTACACATTTTATCTCCCTGCTCTTGGACTCCTAGAAGGCAGAGAACTCTTCCCATTCCCATAGTACCTTGTAGGAGATAGGTACTTTGTACATGATTGACTCTGAGCATCTTTACATATTGAGGATAAAATTATATTCATTAGTCTAACTTTATGACCTTAATGTGATTAGCTAAAAAGTAAATAAAGACAATTTTAAATACTTAATTAAATATAATCATGTCACTTCTGTCCTTCATTTTCTTGCCTCCAACCCCTCCCATGGCCCCCACACTCTCTCTCAAATCAATGGCTTCTTCTTTGAATATTATTGTTACTTATGTATACATATAAATATGTAAATACAACTTCCTGAGTCTCTTAAGTGTTGTTTATGTTTTTATGATTTCAAAGTTAACCACTCTGTATTGGATAATCAGTTAGGGGCTCATCACTGGGAGATGCAACCTCTTCTCTTAGAAATCAGTAGTTACCTGTAGTTCTCTGTCTAGGACTGGTGATCTGTGAGACCTTCCCCCTCCATGTTAGCTACTCTAATTGGTGGTGTCGTTGTTCAGCTCTTACTAAGGCAGCCATATCATTGAAGTATCCTGGATGTAGCTTCCCATTCATTTCTGGGAGACACAATTTCACAGCAGACTTCCTGGTCTTGCCATCCTACTATTACCTCTTTCAGGATGTTCCTTGAGTTTTGCATGCAAGAGTTCTATTGTATCCATTAGGTCTGGGCACCCATGATCAGTATATCTCTGAACATATAAAGGCATGACAGAGCACAAAGCAAACCTTCATATAAAAGTCACTGTCCCACTGCATGTCTTTTAATGCTTTAAAAAGTGAATGTGAACCAAGTATTTTCCTTGGAAATTCTAGAGCACTGTCTAAGTTCTGCTTGGTGTAGTGTGGTTTTGTTCTATTGCTTTCCTTGGGGTGGTTACCTCAACAGGGATTTGTAGAGAAGGTGAACTTGCCAAGCTTTTCAGCCATACCCCGTTTCCAGAGGTCTTTATATTTGCATTGCTACTGGAATACTCTTCCACTGCTGGTATGCTTAAAGCTTCACTTTGCCAATATAACAGACTACAGCAATGACACTTTTAGATTTTCCTGTTTTGGTCACCCATAGCTTTACTCCTAAACCAGCATTCTTCCTGTGGCCACCATTAGAATTAGCATCTATTAGACTCTTCCCTTCCCTGCTCAGCCTCTTGCTCAGTGCTTTGTTTACTCTATAACTTAATCATTTTGATATATTATTTAGCTTTTAAGCTACAATGTCTTCACCTATATATGAACATCCTAAGAATAACACCCCTCTCACTGGAATATCAGAGGAAAATTATGTATAACTGATTTTTTAAAACTTTCCGAGAAATGTGTATCCCTTTCTTTTAACAAATATGAATTGAGAATGAATAAATTATGTAATTTTTGAACAACCATTTGTGTCAATTTTCTTTGACGTTTATGTTTGTGGATCTAGACAGTTCAGTTTTATCTGATTTGTTTTTGTGTTATATGACTTTAGACTCTTAATTGTTTTAGACCAAAATCCTTAAACAATTATTATTTTAAAATATTTTATTAGTTGTGATATATCTCACTAAAATATCCTCTGACTCATACCACTGTTGGGATAGAGGAAGAAGCAAGGTTCTCAGTTGTGGTAAGACACATCTGGTTTCTAGTCTGTAATTCAAGGTAGGCTTTATAGATGACATAGCTCTTGGTTCTTAGAGGCATACCCCATCAGAGATTCCTGTGGGTAAGAAAATTCTGAGTGCTAGTCTGGTATCTCGTCATCTCCACTGAGATCAGGAAATCCAACTCCGAGGTGATGCTTCCCACCTGCCAAAGCATGTTGTTGCAGTTTGCTGAGACTCACCTCATGAATGCAGTTCTCTGGGCTTCAGAGAAGGCTTTACTCTCTAGACCCTGCAGGACCCAAGGGTTGAGGCAAGATACATAATTATACATGACTGATTTCCCATCATTCTTGTCTCCCTGAGCCTTTAAAGTACTCCTGTAGACTATGTGGTGAGTTAGCATCACTCACGTAACCACTGTTAGTCCATCTTCCAACCAAGAAAGCAAAACCTTTCCCAGACGCACAAGCTGATATATCTGTTTCACAGCTTTTGCTGTGTTACAAGCCACCCCAAACTTAGCGACTTGAAAAAATTAGTGATGTTTTATGATTTTCTAGGTTAACAGTTTGGACTGCATGATTGTGTCTTATTTTCTTTCTTGTACTTTTTTTGTTTTTCAAAACAGGGTTTCTCTGTGTAGTCCTGGCTGTCCTGGAACTAACTCTAGTAGACCAGGGTGGCTTTGAACTCACAAGGATCTGCCTGCCTCTGCCTCTGCCTCCCAAGTGCTGGGATTAAAGGTATAAGCCACCACTACCTGGCTTTTTACACTATTTTTAACTGTTTTATGAGTCTGGGTGTTTTGACTGAATGTCTGTGTACCATGTGTATGCAGTGCCCTTGGAGACCAGAATAGGGCACTGTATTCCCTTGGAACTGGAGTTATGAATGGTTGTAAGTCCACGTGTAGTGCTGGAGATAGAACCTGGGTCCTCTGGAAGAACATCCAGTGCTTTTATCCACTGAGCCATCCCTCCAACCCCAGTCATATCACATTTCCTAATGTCTCAATGGTCAAAGAAAGCACACCCACAGGCATGCCAGATTTCAGGGGGTAAAGAGATGATAGAAGCATGATATTCTGGAGGACCAGAAATACTGGAACAGTCTAAAATGGTGAGTCTAAAGAATCCAGGAAGTGACAGTCAGGGCTCAATCCAATCCAATACCTTTAGAATCCACTCCATATGTAATATTCAGTTTATTCCAATGTAAATTTTAAAATATTGTGATTCTCTTGGAATATGAGACACTTCCTATCCACTCTACTCCTGTGGCTCTGAATGAGGCAGGGACTGGGGCTTATGAGGGATGGGGACAACCCTGGGAGGCCAATGTTAATATGTGGTTATACAGGGTTTTAAGCAAGGGAAAGTTAGTGTCAGCAGACAGGAAAGAGGGACTTCTTTCATTATGAAGGGGAGTTCAGGGACAAGTTCAGGACAAGCCTGGTCAAATGTCCCCACTCCTAGCCTGGTTCTGCTCCTTCCATGTCCCTGTTCCCCGTAGACTTTTCAGGTTTGCTTCTGAGTCCTCATTCATATTTAGTTACTCCTGCAATCAGAAGGAATGGGAGATATTTTTAGAGCCAGCATGGAACCCCAGCTGGTGCTCTGCCTGTGGTCTCAGGGGAAATCTCTGAGCTAAAGCAGCCCACCTCACCTCACATCCCTTATAACCATGTTTACTAGAATAATGCTTGATTATATCAGCTACTCAGTCCAAAATCCTACCCCTCCACCAGACCCCTCCCCTCAGGTCTCAGGAACTATGCAGAAGAAGGAGGCAGAAAGATTGTAAGTCAGTGGGGACAGAGGACAGCAAGGGAACAAGGCCTTCTAGACACAACAGAGCTGACACCCATGTGAACAAATGGAGACTGGCAGCACGCTCAGGCCAGCACAGGGCCAAGCCAGATGTTCCCCAGTGCTTAAAGGGAACCGGATACAAGGTCCCCTCTCTCACAGACACTCTGTGCAGCTGACCACTGCTCGCCAAAGAAAAACTAGTTTTCTCCAGTGGAGTCTCATTGGGTATACACACCACATTTAGGAGAGGCCCCATGCCCCGCAGTAGATGGCCAACACAAAACAAACTCCATGGCATTGCTGGAGATGTTTTGGCTCATAAAACTTTGTTTGGGCTTTTTTTTAATCAATTTTTTTGTTTTTTCTTTTCTATTATGTTTTCCAATTTTGTGTTTTTATGGTTTTGTGGTGTGTGTGTACATGTAAGCATGTTTCTCGTGTTTTCTCTCGTTTCTTTCTTTGCTCTGTTTTATTCTGGATTGTTGGCTTGTTTACTTTTTAAAGAGAGAAAGGAGGTGTGGATTTGAATGGATAGGGTGGTGGGGAGGATCTGGAGGAGATGAAGGAGGGGAGACTGATGAGAATCTACTGTATGAAAAAATAACTTAGGAGGCGGGACTGGCGCTGCATGGTGGCACATGGCTCCAATCCCAGCACTTAGGAAGCCAAGGCACAGGAGTCTCCTGAGCTGAGAGCTTCCCTGGGCTACAATTTGAAAGCCAATCTCAAAACAAAAAAAGCAAATTCATATGCAAACTAGCCTATATATAAAAGAGGAATTATTCATTTATACAATTAAATAATCTAGAGGTGCAATGGGTTCTAATAAATACCCTCAGGAGTCAAGTTCTCTCTCTCTGTCTCTCTCTCTCTCTCTCTCTCTCTCTCTCTCTCTCTCTCTCTCTCCTGTCTATTCATTCTGCTTCATTTCTGTACTTTTGTTGTTGTAGTAGTAGTATTGTTTTGTTTTCAAGACAGGGTTTTACTGTGTAGCTCTGGCTGTCCTGGAACTTGCTCTGTAGATCAGACTGACCTTGAGTTCACAGAGTTCAGAGTTCAGAGATCAACCTGCCTCTGCCTCCTCCCAAGTACTGGGATTAAAATCATGCACCACCATCGCCCAACTCAATGTGTCCTCTTACGATCACAAGATGATTGCCTATAGTTAATAGATCCTCTATGTTCAACTCTACCAGACTCTCTCTCTCTCTCTCTCTCTCTCTCTCTCTCTCTCTCTCTCTCTCTCTCTCTCTCTCTCTCTCTCTCTCTCTCTCTCTGGAACCAAAAGCCAAAATAAACCCCTTCTTCCCTGAATTGCTTTTTTTTGCCAGTCTATTTTTATCACAGCAATAGAGAAGTGACTAGTACTTCTATGAGGTCTCAGGTAAATGTGGCCCTGTCATCTCCTGGGTGTTAAGACAGAGATGCCTAAGAATCAGAGAAGCCTTTGAGCTGATATGTTGGATGCTCCAAGTGCATCTGTGGACGCTTGCCAAAATGTGTAGAGAAAGCTATTGGGAATTCTGACAGTTTCCGCACTGCTGTGGCAAAAGTTACTGAAAAAGGAATTGTCTCTTCTGACTCATAGTTCAAGGGGACAGTCCACCATGACATGATGACAGGAATCTGCAGTAACTGGTTACATTGCACCTGTAGTCAGGGGGCAAAGAGATTAATGCTGTACTCAGACAGCTGTCTCCTTTTTTATTGGAAATAATTTTCATAAAGTATTCTGCTCATGGTTTCTCCTCCCAGATCCTCTCCCACCTCCCCACCCATCCAATCCCACGTCTTCTTTTTCTCTCTTTAGAAACCACATGGTCCAATTAAAAAAACAAAAACAGAATAAAGCAAAGTAAATGGACAGAGGGAAAAAAGAAAAAAGAGCACAAAAAACACATACACACAGGGAGATACACACAAACACACTCACACATTAAAATTCCTAAGAATATAAAATCAGAAAACATAAAAGCACAAAAAAGTAAGATTTTAAAGCCCAAACAAAGCATTAAAGAGACAAAACATCCCAAAAAAACATACCACTGAGTTTGTTTTCTATTGTCGATCTATGGCTGGACATCCATGGTTTATATACCCAGGGAGACTCCATTGGAGAAAACTAATTTTCCCTTTGCCAGTAGCTGTGAATCGTAGATAGTTTCTATGTTAGGATGGGAAATTGTATTCACTTCTTTTCAGTACCGAGCCCAAACCTGGCGGGACCTGTGCAGGCCCTGTGCCTGCTGCCACAGTATCCACAAGTTCATATGTGCACTAATCCTGTTGTATCTGGAAGACACTGTCTCCTTGGTGTCCTCCATCCCCACTGGCTCCTGCAGTCTTCCCCCCTCCACTTCAGCATGCTAACCCTGAAGGGAGGGGGTAGCATTCTTTACATATGCAGCCTGAAACCCCAACCCATGGTGTAGTGCAGTCCACATTTAGGGTGGGCCTTCCCACCACAGTTATCTTAATCTAAATACCTCCTTACTCATGTGTCCAGAGGCCTGTCTCTTCGGTGAGTCTAAATCCTGCCAAGTTGACGGTCAATATTAACCACCAAAGGAAAAAATCCCACTTCCATCCTAAACTGCTGGGTAAAAATATTTCTGCTTCAGACAAATGATCGTAGGCTCGGAAGTGGGTGTCTCTTTCCTTTCATGGGATACATATGGGTTAATGTGCAGAAAGAGTTTGAACTTTTCATGGCTGGGCTTGAAACATTAGATTGCCGGTACCTTACACCCAGTATCTAGCACAAAAGTTGATCAAATTTATCATTGTAGCTGTCATTCCACTCCAATGTGTGGCTGTGGTTAGTTGGTTATGAAAGTAGGTTTCGTGTAGCCCAGACTGGCCTTGAACTCCTCATGGTCCTCCTTCTTCTACCTCCCACATGCTAGGATGACAGAGGAGCACTACCACACCTAGCCATTGTTCTAATAACCTCACAGGTGTTTGATGACCCAGACTTCACAATTTAGAGGCATAGGGACTCTTAAGGTCCTTACTTGTACATCAGCAAACTAGAGTCCCATGAAGTTTAATTAAATTGTTTCTACTAACTCAGCTAGTAAATGGCATAGCCTTTTATATCTTAATATTTTTCAGCCACACTAAGAAGAGGCCAAGACATCCTGGATGTATTGCAAAGAGCCCTCATAATAATAGCATTTTGTTATTACATCTCTGTCTGATTGTCTACAACTGCCTGTGAGGTAGCTAGAGAACTGATTTTTTTAAATTCACTTTCATAATCACAGAATCCAAAACAAGAGCTGGCGTGTATAAGATACTTCTAAAAATCTTATGCATGAAGTCTAGAGAAAAGAAGGCAAAATGTGTCAGTAAATCTCAGACACGACACTGGAGCCACACCCTTCTACAGCCTGTCAGGTCTGTCCTTCCAGTGGCCTGTCAGGTCTGTCCTTCCAGTGGCCTGTCAGGTCTGTCCTTCCAGTGGCCTGTCAGGTCTGTCCTTCCAGTGGCTGAGGAATGTATCAGACTCACACAGCTTAATGGAGCCAGCCATGGCCATCAGTCCAGCCACCTCCCCTGTCTCTCACCCTCTCCTGATACATGATTACCCAGAAGAGAAGCAAGTATGACTTGACTCTTCATAACTTTTCCATAGGAATAGTATATTCTGAGGCAGCACTGGTGCCTCTTGTTGCAGAACAGTGTTGAGGAGTTTTATCATCATAATCCAGACTGTAACCTCATTTTGAGTTGACTGTGACTAACCTTTTTTCTTTTCTTTGTTGTGTGTGTGTGTGGTATGTGTGCATTATGTAGGTGTGTGTGTGCATGTACACATACGTGTGGAGGCCTGAGGTTGGTGTTAAGTGTATTCCTTGACTGTTCACTTGTGTACTGAGGTAGGGCCTCTTGTTGACCTACAAGCTTGTTGTGTTGGCTAGTCTAGCTAGCCAGCATGCTCCTCCAGCTTGCTGGGATTGCGGGTTGGCTACAGCACCCACATGTTTTTTACATTACTTTTGAGGATCTGAATTCTGTTGCTTATTCTTTGGGGCAGGTACTTTACCTACCAAGCCATCTCCACAGTCCCTGATGGTTAAACTTGTCAACTTGATTATACTGAAAAGCTGGAAACTAGGAGACTAGTAAGGTTTACTCACATGTGTATCTGTAAGGTCACATCCAGAGAGAACGCCAAATGTAGGGAAGACCTTTGCTGGACGTGGACAAAGCCACATCATTCTATAGACTGAGGGGCCTTGTAATTTAAAAGTGGGATGGCAAGAGCCCTAGAGAATGGACTTTTCCTCAAATTCATGCTCACCCCCATTTTGTTTCCTTCCCTCCTTGTTGGACGTGTGGGCCCGCTCTGCCATGCCACGCCCTTTCTTCCTGGTCTACTGACACTGTCAGACAGTGAGGCAGAGTAAACTTCTCTTTCCTTGGGTGTTCTGTCAGATATCTTGTTGACTTTGAAACAAGTCAGTGGCATGCTTCCTGCTCAGCTCTGTTTGTCCCGTGAAAACTGACCTCCAGGTTAGGACAGCTGCAAGAAGCAGAGAGGAAGCAACCAGAGCCAGAATGTTTTATCTGTAGAAACAGAAAGGGAAACCAAGAACATTGTTTGTCAAGTCAGGAAGCATTCTAATATTCAGTCCCCCTTGTTCCAAAATCCCAAACTGAAATGACTAATTTACCAAGTAATTTAAAATCTAAATCAAAAGAAATAATACAAAATTTTTAATCAAGACCAAATTTAAATGGGATTTTTCCACTTTTCTTTTTTCTTTTCTTTCTTTTGTTTTGTTTTGTTTTTTGAGACAGGGTTTCTCTGTATTGTTTTGGAGGCTGTCCTGGAACTCGCTGTGTAGACCAGGCTGGCCTCGAACTCACAGAGATCCGCCTGCCTCTGCCTCCAGAGTGCTGGGATTAAAGGCGTGCGCCACCAACGCCCGGCTGTCTAACACTTTTCTAAATTGTAACAATACAATATGTTAATGCACTAGACCATTCAAAACTGGTAGTCTCATAAATTGTTAATAGTGGAATAAATGGTCACAATGCAGCATTTATAGTATTTATAGTGTGGAGGCCAGGCCATTTGTCCTACAGTTTGCTCCAGTAACTATTGCTCAGAATCTCTCTAAGGGAATGATACAAAGTATCAAAGAAGCAATAGGCACAAAAATGTTCTCTCTCTCTCTCTCTCTCTCTCTCTGTGCTTGTGTGTGTGTGTGTGTGTGTGTGTGTGTGCTGGTTCTTGCTGAGGCTTTGTTACAACATTGAATGTAATAGGCAAAACCTAAAACTTTTATTTAGATTACTCAAGGTTAATTACTCTACTTAGAAATACTATGGCAAGAAGAATGGCAAGAATTCTTCTAAAGAAAAGAAGCAGAACAGAGGGGAAGGACAAGCTTTACAGATAACATGCTTTCATGTGGCATTTGTGACCCCAAACTGGAAATTACCTGTCAAGCACAATGGAAACAGTTTAGTTACCGTGAGTTGTGTTTGTATTACATGCCACCATCTAACCACGGGCACTAAACTCCATAGAAATATGAAGTAATTGTTGGATGTCATTTTAAGTCTCTCTGTGTTAGGCACTCTCTGTGAAGTCAGCACACAATTTGCATGTATAGCTTCATGTTACAGAACCCTATGGGAAAAGAGGGTTCAGGCCTTACACAGATGAAAACATGGAGACTAGGTTGCCAAGTAACTTTCCCAAGTTTTCACACTTAGGAGACCCAGGACTCAAATGTAAACTCACTGATACAAAAAACTCAGATAAAGGACAGAGGTGGTGTGTGTGCAGGAGGGGTGTGTATAAGAGATGGGGCGGCAGGATGGGTGGAACAATGATTCAGTGGCCTACAGCTAACAATACCTTAGCACTATTTTGGGTTCAATGCCAAGCCCAATAACTAACATAAAAAAAAGTCTGGAAAGGGGTACATGAGACTATCCAGAGGGTTTTGTTCACACGTAAGACCTTATATGTTCCTTCTACAGAAGAAGATGCACATAATTCCTTATAATACAGATGTTGGCATTTATGTAAACTCTCAATTCTCTAGAATGTGTTCTCTAAAGTGGACTGGCCACTGAAATGCTGTGGTATTCAAAGACAACAAAATTACCCATGCAATGTTGTTATTGGTAAGATGCTTCTCTGTCATTTCTTCACGAAATTTGAGGGAAATGCCTCCATAAAATCCTTTTGTAAAGATTGGAGGGGGTACTAAAAATATATCCCATTCATTTTTCTTTCCGTCCTTCCCTTTGCTTTCTCAGCTGTGTCATAAGAATAGTAACACTTCATAGCTTTGCATATGCTAGGAAACTATGAGCTATATTTATTTCACTCCATTATTCCTGTATTTGAGAGGTGAAAACACACTTTGGATACTTTAAATATATACTTAAAAATTTAACATTTGAACATTATAAATTTAAACATTTTTTTCTTTTTTTTGTTTGTTTTTTGTTTTTCGAGACAGGGTTTCTCTGTGGCTTTGGAGGCTGTCCTGGAACCAGCTCTTGTAGACCAGGCTGGTCTCAAACTCACAGAGATCCGCCTGCCTCTGCCTCTCAAGTGCTGGGATTAAAGGCATGCGCCACCACCACTAGGAAAATTTAAACATCATTTAAAGAAATACATTAAAATTTAGAATTTCCATGTCTACCTATTAAAACTCAGAAGCCCATAGAAACACTGGAGTTTTGGCAAAATTTTTGTATGTTCAACATTTGTTTCCCTTATGTCAGGCGCAAATTTTCACCTGTGTTTTTATGAGAATCTAAAGAGAAACTAAAAGACAAGTTGACCAAGTGAAAGTCTGAGCAGTCACCGGGCTTGCCAGTATCCTGCCAGCCTCAGGAGATGTCACAAGGGGCCAAGCACACACGCATGACTGAGCTGTGGCTGAGCATATGAGGCACATGTGACAGGAGGAGTTGCATGCATCTGTTCCAAGTAATGCTTGGGGAAGTTGTCGTCAAGACCCACCCCGTGGCAGAAATTCATGGGTGGGGACTACAAGGGGCCTTTCCAAAAACACAAAGTCTTTTGTCCAGTGTTCTCAGAAAGAAGAGAAGAGAAGGACGGCTTCCACGGGTGACGGCTACATGGTGGGAGTGATGTTTGAGTGCTGTCGGGGGTGGGGGGTGGGGGGGGATGCAGGCTTAAAGGGACAGGTCAGAGCCAGGTCAACAGAGCTTTTATCTTCTGACTGAGCATCAGTGCGACACTGGACACCTCAGCAGCATTCTTCCCTTTCAAGGTATATGGGGTACACCTAGTCCCCAGGGCCTATTACCTTCTATCTTGTCGTTTGAATCCTCTGTCAGCTATGTGTCCTGAAGAATACAAAACAGTGCATTAGATATGTTTCACACTGAGGACTTCAAAATAAACTAGAGAATTGGATCACACACTGAGAAGTTATATAAAAACCAAGGATGCATACAGTTGCATGTCTGGTGAATGAAAATAGACTCCAAGGAATTCAAAGCAGATGGGAGCTCCTCATAGGAGTCAGTAACACAAGAAGAAGCAGGGAGGGATGGAGAAGTGTGCTGAGCCTGGAGGCTTTCTAGGGATGTATGCTGAGCAAGTACTGAGAGCAGGATTGGTACTCCAAAGGCTCATCCAGCTGCCCAGCTGCATCCCTGGGCATTTGGTGTGGTCACAGGCCAAAATGCCAGGGAAGTATCTCAGAAACCCCTTGCTATTGTAGTTGTTGATTGTGAAGGTTTCTGAGGAACCCGGAGGAGAGACAAGTCCTAGAGGGGTGGTCAGGGCAGCAGGGGCCACTCAAGGTGCTTGGGAAAGTGGGCATTTTTCCATCTAGTTCTGTCTGTTACAATGGTGTAGCCACAGCCCTGGGTACTTGATGGAACTCAGCTGTGAACACCGAAGCAAGACCCTTTCAACATGCTTTTACATTGCACATTGTATCTCATTTGACATGTCTCTCTTTCCATCTGCTGGTGTAACTGTCCATCTGTTGTCCATAGCAGGACAAAAGCAGATAAAGATGCAGAAGAGAAAGTTTGGTGTGTGTGTGTGTGTGTGTGTGTGTGTGTGTGTGTGTGTGTGTGTGTGTGTGTGTGTAGAGGGGTGACATTTACTTCCTTCTTTCATTTAGCTCCAGCTTCTAGGAAACTAGGTGCTCTGACCTTTATCTGATAGTGTCAAGATTAGTGAAGAATCATGGTGAAATTCTGAGCTTGGCTTTGAGGCACTAACCAGGGGCTGGGATAGGGAGATGGGTAACTGCTTCAAATAAGCACCTCAGAGCAGACTCAGACAGCCCAGAAAAGAAAGTGACTGTGTGAGCATGTCAGGAAATGTGCACAGATGTCCCAGCCTTCCCTCTGCACACTTCCCTATTCCTCTTCTTTCTGCCTCATCACTCACTGTTGGGGATTGTTTCTTTTAAGCATCCAAGACTGTTTTAGGTTTTAAGAAGTTCTTTAGCTCTATTCCTTAACTCCATTAGCGCCGTGTTATATGAGTCCTCTGGGGAAGGGGCCATTTTTTACTGAGGCAGACACCAGGACTATTCCAGGAAATTGTAAACATGGGAAATCAGTCTGTTGTCCTTTTCATTTACCAAACCATTTTTTGGAGGCTAAACAAAGTGGTAAACAGCATGGGTCCAGACAGAGTACACAGAATCTCTGTCGTGAGAGGCTTATGACCACTGATGAGTGTCCTCACATGCCCCGAATTGAGCTTCAGGCCAGAGAATGCAGAAACAGAGGAAAGAGAGGTTCACTTCAACACACAGCTTTGAGTTGTGCCAGCCAGAAGACGAATCTATTCTGTATCCCTTTCCCATGAAAGGTCTGTATATCTGGCCCTGAGCAAATGCTCAGTCACCAAGAAGAGTGGTCAGAAACAGCTACGGAAGCACTGAAACCCCACTGATGAAAGTGGTACTCTTAAGGGTTTCTTGGAAGCTATGTGGCCTAGTTTCAGACCAGCATGTGAGCGCTTGTTCAACAGGTCTCCATGAGGCACAGCCAGTAGGAGACAGTCTCTCACTGGGCCAGAACTGGCAGACCTTGGGACAGCACAGAATGTTGCTGAGACTAAGTGGCCTGTACAGTCTCTTTCCTCTCATAATATTGATGTTTCTCTTGGTGATTTTAGTCTCCCTTTGTCAACCATGCATGGGACAAATAAAGTTAATGAGCCCATGTAAGGAAACAACACAAGGGACATTAGCTATGTCTCCCAATTCTGGGAAAGCACATAAGAACAGTGTGGCAAAATGGAAAAAGAGTGACTTATCAAAGTTTGCCTTTTATAAAGAGACTTAAGCAAACAGACTGTTTTGTAGGACAAGGGAAGTTAGAGAAAATATAAACTAACTACATATACAAAGCTTATGGCAACTCACCCCTATTTCTGTAAATATGCTTTGCGAAGAAGTTTTGAATGACAGTGCTGTTTTTGAGAATGTGTGCCTATGTGTATCACCTTTATTGTTTAACTTTTGTTGATTCTTTTTGGATTTCACATCATGTACTCTGATCTCTATCCACTTGCATCCACCCTCTGCCCGTGCAAAACCAAGCCCAATTTAAAAGAACAACCAAAACAAATAAAACCAAGAGACAAACAAGAAGGGGGAATCTTGTCATGGGGACTGTAGCATGAATCACACAGCTACCCTTTAGTCCATTCATCTTTATTTCCAAGTGTTCATTACCACATGTTGTCGCAGCTCCTGTTGGATATCCTGTTCGCCTTTTAACTTTGTAAGCACAGAATGTACCTGGCTCAACATTTAGCCAAGGTAGCAAAATGACATCTGTTGGTTTTGGCTTAAAAGATGTTTTGATGCAAAAGTTGGGGAAAAATATATTTGACATACTTGTTTTTGCCAGAAGTTAACGTTGGAGGGTGAGGAAAACATGCTTGTTTTTGAAGTATAAATAAAGACTGCTAGGGCTGTTTGGGACCAGCCACTTGTGAGAAACTCATCTTGGGGATGGACAATTTTTCTTTCTCCCATGCCCCTTTCCTGTCTCAGGACCTTGACTCAGGCTGCAGCAGGACAGCAACAGGGGCTAGAAGGACATCAGGCTGAACATTCTTTCTGAACCTGCATTTTCTGAAGGTCATTTGCAGAATTAAGTAGGAGTCACTGGGGCAACACTGGCAATAAGCTATAGATTCTGAGGACTTTTTTTTGAGGCTTGGACAGAGAAAGAGATGCGAGAAATGTTGTAACAGTCCTCAAACAGTTAGTTCCTCAGTGCACTGTAGAAGACTTGTCACCACCACAGTCGAAACCACGAGGGCCTCGAGGTAAGGCATGGAGATCAACTTCACGGATCTTGATAATTGAATCTATATGACCATTTACCACCTGCCTGGAGACTGGAGTAGCTTCTAGAAACTAGTATCATAATTTTTTTGTTAAAAATCAACTATGGGAAAACTGAACTTATTCTGTCAGCCTAGATGCAAAAATGAAAACCTGGAATTTTCAGAAACACCCTATCAATAGTAAATGCCCTGTGCAATGAGGTGTATCAGTTTAGCCTGAGACCAAATAGTTTGTGAAAATTTAATTTCTAAAATAGAGAAAGTTGAGTATGAGGGTAGGAGAAATGCTCATACTTCCAAGTTGTCAGATCACTGAAATTATCTAAGATTATCTTTACACTTTTTAAGTCTCAACATTTTTATCTGGAACAGAAGGGAATTTTTAAAATTTACATTGGAGAGTGATTAAGGAGGATATTTTATATAAGCATTTTAATGACATAAATGTAAAGCTAAGACCCTAATCTGGAACAGGGAGGTTGAGATGTCATGCATTCATTCAACAAACATTTTTGAGCAACTTCTGCATTCATAAGGCAGTGCTTATGTGAAAGGGTGTCTCTGTTAGTACAGTTGAGGCCCTTGGAACTCTTTGTCTGGAATCTGATACAGGGAGACATAGTCCACAAACTATGTAACAGGATAGGTCCCTATTGTAGGGAAAAGGACCAGCCAAAGAAACACACCCTGAGAAGAGCCAAAGAAACGCACTTTGGCTCTGCAACCAGAACCAAAGAAATGTACCCTGACCCTGAAACCAGTGTCAAAGAAACACACTTTGTGCCTGGAATCAGAGCCAGTGAAAGAAATACACCCTGGCCCTAAAACTAGAGCCAAAAGGCTAACAAGGACCAGAGAAAGAAACACACTTTGGCCCTGAAACCAGTGCCAAATCTGACCCTAACCCTGTGCAGAAAACTAACCAATCCTTGGGCAGGAGCTCTAGCTAACCTGAGCTCAGCATTAAAATCTGACCAATCCCTACTCTGGAAAAACTTCCTCTGCCCCCAAGAATCCCTATATAAATTCTGTGTATGTTCAGCTTATCCAGTCCAGCTGCTTCCTTCTAATTAACCCCTTCCACGAGCTTTGGGTGAAGATCTTTTGTGGTAGAGCAGAGGCGACCCTGGGCAGAGCTGAGCAAGCAGGGCTGTAACACTTTTGCCGGGGAAACCTTCCCTAGGCAGAGCAGAGTTGTTTGTTATACTCCCCTGTCCACTCATGTAGGAGAAAAACTGCTACACTGGATGAACAGCCCCAGCTGGAAGACCCCGTCCTGCCGGAGGGGAGCCCATACACTGGGGAAGCCTTTCTCTGAGGCCAGGCTGTAAGCTGCTACGATTACTGCAGCCTGTGGTGGTCCTTGGCTTCTGAGCTCCAGGATACCTTTTTATCTGAGCTGTGTAACACTCAGTATCCTTGGCTCCTGAGCTCCAGGATAGCTTTTTATCTGAGCTGTATAACATTCAGTATTCTGTGACTCCCGAGTGCCAGGATACCTGTTCCATGGATCCGTCAAGATACTTACACCTATCGCACAATAGAGGGGTGGAGCTGACTGGCAATCCAAAGGTTGGCTCAGGTGGATTTTTTTCTCCACTGCTTTTTTTTTTCGTTATACCCATATCTCCTCCAATAAAATTTTGTTAAATATTACAGTCTGTTTTGTGTCTGGGGAGATTGCAACATGTAATTGCAGTGGTTGGTGGTAGCTAGCAATAAGTAAGCAAGCATTCCTTGGGAATTCCCTCAAATCCTCGAGGAAAAGTCAGAGGGACCTATCACAGTCTCCCACAGAGGTGGGGCTCACAATTATTTGGACACTGGCAAGCACTGTGGCCACTTGAAAACTGGTGAGCTCTGACAGATGTCACACAGGTCTCTGGGGGCAATGCTCACAAAGCAGCAGAACACACTTCTATGACCTCAGGTCACTGGGCAGTAAAAGTCCAGATGACTTCATTTGCTGGTGGATAACATCCTGACCCTGTGGATTTGAAAGTCCAAAGATAGCC